CTGTGGTTGTTTTCAGTGTGTCAATATTTGTCTCAGGTCTCTGAAGCTCTTCCTTCTGTGGATTTCAGAGGAAAAATCTCTGGGGAAAGGAGGGTAGGGGGGGCAGGAAGGGAATTTTCTGCCTGTGGATCAGGGAAGCCATTAGGCGGCTCTCTGCTCTAGGCTTTGGACTAAATCACAGTCAACATCGTGGTTTTAGATCAATTGCAGCCAAACTTTTCCAGTTCCTTTGTTTCCTTCCGCAGCCTGCAAGAAAACTTTCCAAACAGGCATTAAAAACCTGTCTTGTTTACAGTTTAATGGATGAGGAAATTTTCCAGCATCTCAGCTTTTTCCCAACCCCATTGAGAACAACAGAATTTGGCAGCATTATAATATAGGGGAAAGGAATAGTGATGAGTGTTTGCATCAGATGGCAGCAGTGAACAATGAGGACATTAGATGTGCAACCACTGGCCTAAAGTGGTTCTTAGGGTGAGAAGTCAAAACTAAATCCACATTTCTACATATTTTTTGTCCATTGCTTTAAATAATTGTTTAGAGCCACTGCTTTATTGAAAGAATAAAATATGAGCAAAGCCAAATTGGAAAGAAGAGAAAGCAGCACAGGGATCTGAAAGCAATCCATGAGGCTTTTGGACAAAATGAGGTTAATTTCTTAATCCAGGTGATGGTACAAAAAGAGAAGAAGCATTACTACCTCTTGCTTACCAGCATAGATAAAATAAATGTTGAGGGCTTTGTTGTTATTTATTCCTATGTTTCTTTAGTTACATTTATTTTTTTAAATGGCAGAGATGTCAATATTAGCAGCAGCCTGGGCTGCAGTGATCATGCCCTGGTGGGTTTCACAAGCCTGAGGTATATAGGCAGGCAAAGGGTCAGAACACTGAATTTTAGAAGACCAAACTTTCAGTTGTTTAAGGAATCAGTGGATGGGACCCCCTGGACAACTTCCTTCAAGGATAAGGGAGCTGTGAAAAGCTAGCCACTCTCTAAGAACCTATTTATTCAAGAAAAGAGCACTCAATTCTTTTGGAGCAGCTGTCAGAACTGTGCAAATTAAACACCTGGGGAGGCTGGTGTGACAGTAGTTTCAGATTGAATCAACACATTGTTGCAATAAATTGGACTGGGAATGCTGAATGCTCCTTTGGTTGTCTCTGCTGGAAAAGATGAAACTAAAGTAAAGACAAAGAAAGAGACTCTTAGGAGATACAGGTATATAGTTGGTGGTAACTACAGTCCACTGGGGCTTGGATAAGGTCCTGTGTCATGTTTCCAGTGATTTCTGAACTTTATGGTGATACTGGAACAGCTCAGAAGCTGCCACATCCACCAAATGCACATCTTTAATACCTGTGACTAAATCACACAGGAAAACATAACAGTACAGAAGGCAACAATAAGTTACAAGGCTGCTTTTATTAAGATACCAAAATTCCTATAAACAGACTCAGTCACAAATAACAGTTTCTGCTGAGCATGCAAGGTATCAAATACAAGCTACTGGTTCACATTTCGTCCTGAGGAGTAGTGCTCAGCTTTTGAAAACAGCATAGCTCCACCAAAATCAACAGGCAGATCTCGAATCCTGCCACCTCCAAGAAGTTCAGGATTCTCAGTACTAAAAACTAGAAAAATATTTATAGCAAAATAGCTGATCCTGTCGCTGAGTGCAGAAGGCAAGCACATTTCACATTTGACAGCAAATTGAGCAAAAGTTAAGAGACTCCTGCATAAAAATAACTAATTTTTATGTTGTTGTCCAAAGAAGTTTTGGACTCCCCATCCCTGGAAGTGTCCAAGGCCAGGCTGGATGGAGCTCTGAGCAACCTGGGATAGTGGAAGGGACTTGGAGCTAATCGGTCTTGAAGGTCCCTTCCAACCTAAAGAATTCTATGATTCCACATTCATCAGACTAAGACTGGAAAGGTAATTTATAGTTTCACCACTTACAACTAAATGGATTTTTTCTTTTTTTTTTTTTTTTTTAAGATCAGGACCTGGTAACTCATATTTCCATAAGGAAAAGACAAGTCAAAGTGTCTTACTCCTTACAGAGTCACTTGAATCTAAAGCAGAATGCAAATGATTACTCTGTGGAAGTCTTTTACCCAGTAATCTTACTACCTAGTAGAAATTGGACTAGAAGGATAGAAAAGCCATTTTCCTATGCTATTTTGTACCCAAAAATCAGCACCTCAGTGCCCTGGCTACTAGAAAAATTCATGACTTCAAGATAAGGACCAATTTCCATTAAGAGTTATTTATAATGGTGTCCACTGAGCTTAAGGAGGAATTTGTTTTTTATCAATTACTAAGTTAGATGGGACCCAAGCACAGCAGATTATCACTGTGTAGGAGGGGTGACTGCAGCAAACAGAACAAGTTATTGACACCTCTTCACCTCTCATCTTCCAACACACTCAGCTGATGTGGAGATTTGGGGCAGCAGAGAAGAGCAGCCCAGGAAAGAGCCCTGCAGGAGATGCTGACTGTGTGGAAGAGATTTTTGCTCCAGTTTATCCAGCTGAACAGATTGTTGTTGTACCCAATGGACTGTGTAAACTGAGCCTTTGCTGCTGCACTGATGGTCTTGCAGCCAGGCAAAATTCAGGTCAAATTTATAACTCTTCATTTGCAATTGGAGAGCTCTCACTTAGGTGGGCAGCACTTTGTGCTTGACTGCACAATCATTAGAGTCTAGTTAAGCAGAATACACAGGCACCAATTGATTTATCTGGAAAAATAATGGGCTGCCAGCAACAAAAATAGTTTCTTTTTTTTTTTTTTTTTTTTCCCTTGATTTTTTTTAATTTCCGGAGGGATTCAATTTAAAAACTCATGCTGAAGAATACCCTGAGTAGGTTAAGCCCCAGATTCACAGTGGCTTTTCCTTATTTTGGTGCAAATCCAATGCTTGTTCCTCAGTTTCTGTATACTTAAAGCATTGCATAATTAGGTCTTCAACGCTGTTGCAGCTCAAAGTTTCAACCTCACCCTGAGTAAACAGCAAATTTCAAACTGAAAAGAGATCACTCTGAGGGTTTGCTGATTTACTTCCTTGAGTATCAATGAAACATGCAGCTTGTCGATATTAATGGCACAAGTGATGCTAAGATGAGCACATAGCGATAAGTCACAGTGAGAAAAACAGATCTTGGAACTTGAAGAGGGAGCCAGATGTCTTTGTTTTCTTCCCTTCTATTTTATCAATGGAAAAACTGCCAAAATTCACTTCAACCTGGAGCTGTTGTTACAAAGGGTTCTTAGGACACCAGGGAAGAAACAGATTGCTAAGAAAAGAAGAGGTATAGAAGCCTTTTATATATTACATTAATTTGAAAGAGTCAGTGTTGTGTAGAGCAAGGAAAGCCAAATGTTGAGTGAAGACAAACTTCAGTTCTCCATATGATGAGATATGATCCCACTAGGAAAAAAAATATAAACCAAATTAATCAGGATTGAAACAGGTAATCAGCTCCCTTCCAAAGACAGTACATACATAGGAAAGAAGAGCTGAGTACTTCCAGCTCCAAAAAGGAGCCATTAGCTGAAACTCCACCATGATGTGGAAGTGTTATGAGCCTGACAATATCATTTATGCTACAACCTCTTTGAACAACTCCAGAATTCCCGTTACTACAAGGTATTACTCAGGAGAGCAGAATGATGAATGCAAGAGAAGCCATTCTTGCTCTGTGGAGACACTCAGAGATTTCATGTGTAGGTTTTAATTCAATGAACCTCGATATGCCCTTTATGCTGGGTGGTGGGATTTGTATCTCTGATGGAACTACAGCTGCTGGAGTTGAACCAAGGAGTCCTGGGTACCTTCCCTTGGGACTCCTGACACATCCAGCCCTTGGGAAGCCACCAGAGCATTACCCTCACCTGCAGCCATCTCCCAGGAGCTGCCCAGAGATGGATAAGAGGGTGGCCTGTGGGATGAAAGACAGGGAAATGCAGCTAAATGTGACCACTCAGGACTTACAAGCAGAAAGCTGGATGGTGTTCCCTGCCTTTGCCTGAGGTGTATATTGAACATTACTGTACTCAGTGAATTGGAATGAATTATCTGCAAATGCCATCGGGATGTGTGCAGTGCATTTACTGAGGCTATGGCATTGTCCCGTGGGAGGATTCCTGCACCAGGCAAGGGTTACTGACTAACTCTGGCAATAATGCCAAATAAACCCGTTTCCAGGAACACAATTCGATCCACAGCAAACATCCTTGAGCTGTGGTGTTAGGTGTTGTTCCTCAGCCTGCCAGCTTTCTCACTTCTCTCTCCTCCTCTTAAAGAGACAAGAGTGCAAATGATGCTGAGCTGCTAGAACAGACTAATTTCACAGAAAAAGTGCTGAATCCTGTGGCATACTGAAAAAGTGTTAAACTCCCAAGTTTCAGAGGCAGACCATGTGGCAGTGGTTAAGTCTTCTCAGAGCTGTGTTTTCAGCCTCTCTGCAGGCACATGTGAGCACTGTTTATGCATTTCAATACTTCAAGCTGTTTATGTTTAACATCTCACTACTCTCTCAAAAAAAAAACCCTCAAAAAAAAACCATTACCGAGCTTTTGCAGAAAGGGATAACTTCTGAGGAGAATTTATAAAGAGAGTGGTAAAGTTTCTCTCCATTATTGCACTAGTCACTAGTTTAAACCCAAAAATTATATGGCGTTTTTGTGGAAATGCTTATTGGTGTTTTCCAAGGTGATGTGCCATTTACTCTGACTGAGATCAAAGCCATGAAGGAAGATGAAGGACACAAAGCTGTCTTCCTCCTCTTGTAGTTTGCATAATTTGAAAACAGGGAAGGACAGTAGGAATTTCTTTCTTACTTATATGGCCTTTACCCACAGCAAAAAGTACAGCAGGTTCAAATATTCTCATATAGAAGATGGTCATCTACAAGTATTTCACCCTTTCAGGAAGAGATAAACGGCTAAAAATGCAGCTGATCATAGCTCAGTACGTACATGTGGCAACCTGTGAATCACTAATCATAGAACACTTGGTAGCTGAAGTTGTCAGACTTGATCCTGAGGTTGTATCTTCCCATCCTTCGCTGGTACTGGCAAATGAGAAGGGTCACAACTCCCAGCACAATACCAAACACAGCAAGGGCTATGAGGATGATGTATCCAATTCCCATTCCAGCTTCCTTCTCTCTCTTCAAACCAGATGCTAAAAAAAAAAAAAAAATTAAAAAAAATCAAGGGGTAAAAGAAAAAAAACTTTGAAATTCCTAAAGCTTTTACTGAGGAGACAAACAAGCCCTGCATGTCACTTAGCCAACATGCCAGTACAGAACTGTGCTACAGAAGTGTATCAGCCTTCTGGGGAGGGTCATTCTCATGGAAAGGGAGTGAGGACAGACCATGTCCTCTTTTTACAGACCAGTGTAGAGTCCCTGCAGACATGAGTGTGATTTTCAGCTAAAGTAAGAATTAAAGAATTATTACTGACTTTTTAAAATGCTGCTTTACTTTCAGAAGTACTTTAGAGGTGAAGCACTCCCCTATCTTAATCCTGCCTCCATTCATCTATGATTATAAAAATGACTTGATTTGCTTTTATCATGTATGCAGACCTGCTGGAAGAGCAGCCAGACTCAGAGGGGAAGGAAAAAACAAACCAAATTGCCCCAGTGTGGGCAAGAGTCAAGTCCCACATTGCCAACCACCTCCCAAGGCACCACAGACAGAAAGTATTCTCCTGGTTCCCTTTTAACCACTTCCACATATTTGCCCAAATTTGCAAGCAGAAACCCCTCTCCCTTTATTATTATGTCTCTCTTCATGTTTGTACAAGTTCTTATAATTCCTACCTGCAAAGGCTTGATGCACCTACAAAAACATATATTTGTTTGCTTACGTTTTCAGGACATCACTTATTTTGCCAGGCACTTCTGTGGTACCTGAGGTATAACAGAAGATAAATACTACTGCACACATGCCTGCAATTAGACACAAGATTTTTGGCCAAAGGGCACTGCTGGCAATTACAGAGGTCAGTAAGAGCAGTGTTCAAGCTACAGAACACCCAGGGCATCATTCCAAGACAGGCCAAATCAGTGCTGTGTAATATATTCAGTCTCGTTTTTGAAATTCAGCATAAAACAAAGGAATAAAGTAGAACATGCACAGTGGAAATGGCAGCCTGTAGGCAGACACAGAGCAGCCCTCCTGAGGATGTGGAACAGTGGCCTTTGCCATAATATGTGACCATGTGTTGGCAGAACAGGTAAAGTTTTCCATGTTTCACTGCACCCCTTATACCTGTTATTACCTGACATCATAATGTTATCCCCTTCCACACAGAGATGTGGATCACTTAAAATGTGGTGTGATTATCCAAACTAGAAATAAGAGACAGAATCCAAAAGTGTCACCTTTGCCTAGAAATCAATTTAGCACAAGCCAAAGAAAGCTCCTCTCACCAGAGGTCCTTTTGGGAAATGGTCATTTTTCAAAATTAGAAATGCATCAGGATCTCCAGCAACAATGAGAGTGGGAGCTACTTGTTGTAAGAGCTAAACAAAGAAAGATGTATTAATTGCTTTACTTTTTATTTTTAAGAACTAATTCAGAAAGGAGCACTAAGGGCCTACTTACAGACCATGTAGTGGAAGAAAAATATGTTCTTCTAAGTCAGAGTCAGTTCCTAGGTCCAAAAGAACATTATGAACTGTCTATCCATGGTATCCATGAGTTAAGACTGTGATATTGGTGAGCCAAAACACTCTCAATGAGTGTTTTATGTTAAGAAGTTAGAAATATAAAGCTGGAGGGGGACAAAAGACTGAAAACATGAGAGACCACGGGTGCCCTTGAAAGCATCACTCGGGTTAAATGCAGAAAAAGCACGTGCATAACAAATTAGACCTTGCTTGTCCCTCGTGCTGGTGTTTGCCCTCAATTAACCTGTGCTGCACCAGATTAACCAAGGGTGCTGTGCATCAGCTGTGCTCTGCCACTTTCCCTCACCGTGGTAATGAAGTCAGTACCAGGGAGCCAAAGGAAACAATAAAATCTCTTACTTCAGGGACTTCAGAGCTCAAAATAATTGCAGACTAACAGCAGTGTAAACACTTGGAAAACCGATTGCAATCAGAGAGATCGACTTTGCTTTCACACTTTACAGTTGAAATAATTTTTTGATTTTGTGGTTGTTGCACTTGTTACCCTGTGCAAACAGTCACACAAAAGCACTTTATCTTCCTTTCTATACTCCCTTGACAACCTGATACAGGTTGCTCCCTGTGCTTCTCCACGCTGCCACGTGGCTCCAGCAGGAATGCCTGCTCCCAAGGAATACAGAAGGGCACAAAAACCCCGTGTGTCATTGGCGTTCAGGTTCCTTTGCCAGCACAAAATAATCTTGGCACGATGGTCTGTTCAGAACTCACCAGGTGATTTACACAGGGGTCCCCAGGATGTTCTGTGCAGGGCGATGGTTTCCCCAGCCTCCAGGAGCCGAGCCCGTGCATGGCATCTCTGCAATGATCAGATTCAAACTCCAACAAGTCATGTGGCTTACTAATTCAAAATACAAAGTCTCCTGATGAGCTTGTGGAAGCCCAGTGCTACTCTCACCATCAGGCTTTTGTTTCTTAATGTTATGCTCTGTTAAACTGAAATTAGCACCAAAAGGAAGTCCAAAAGAAATGGCATCAGGGAAAAATCAGTATAAAACCTATAATTAGTCACACTGGAACACACTGCTGTGAACAGACATTCCACACAGACAACCTTTTCATTAACTTTCTGTTTATTTTAGAGAAACCTTATGAGAGAATAAATTTATCACTAATGCCAAGGTTTTGCAAGCACTTTTGTTTGGATGTTTCTGCTGCCCATGGCAAGCACAGCAGATACTGCAACCAGCACCAGCAAAAGCAGCAGCAGCTTTCAGACCCTGCCAAGCTGTGTGTCATTCTGAAGCTACCCACGACCTCAGTGGCATGTGAACCACTAATCTGGGAAATACAAGACTGAAATCCCTGTCCTGTGGGATGCTGGGGATCAGCTGCTTTAGCTCTGTGTGAGCAGCACTTGCACAGGCATTTTCTGTGCACTTCCTTTTTTTTTGTTTGCTGCCTTTTTGTTTTAAGCTGCAGCCTAGAGGTCCCTGATGGGAACCAAAACCTACAGGCATTATTCAAAGGGTACTGTGGCACTCCTGGAAGGGCACAAAAAGCCCCAGAGAAATGGCAGCATCATACCATGACCAGCAAAATCAGCAGGGTGTCTTACCAGCTTGTTTACACCAGAACATCTCACCAGTGTTACCAGTTTGGCTGCACTGGAAAACCTCTACAATCCACTGCCAGCAACAGTGTCTTCAGCTGGGTCAGTCCCCAGAAAAATAACCATGTGTTTATTTATGACTTTGTTCTGCTCTCAAATAGCTTTCCCAGGTAGGTGGATCTGTTAGAGAACACATTTATGTAGCTGCTCCCTGATGGCAAAGAATTTTCAATTCCACCTGGCCATGGAGCAGCCACGTTCCACCAAACATCTTCGTGGTGGTGGCACATCACTCCTCTTCCCATTCAAAGTCATTTTACTTACTCATTTCTTACTACTTTTCTCCTCAGCCAGTCCATTTTCCTTCCAACTCTAAACTTTAGAGCACCTTACTCTCTTCCACGGAGAAAACAAGGAATAAATAGACTGAGTAAGAAGAAATAACACAAAGACTTAAATATCAAGTGTGTGGGTGAAGAGCTGGGCTAAACCTGCCCTGAAGCAAGTCACTATTTCCCAGAGTAACAGAGCAGTGGGCCAGATCCCAGACACAGAGCACTTTCCCAGCCATCTTACATTATTTACAAATATCCTCTGTTCTTGTTCATCTTCCTTGATCTTTGCACCTTCCTCAGTTCCTCCCCCCTTCTTTGTAAAAGCCATTGCTCACCCTGTGTAGATGTGCCTGATATTTGTCTTCCCCACATCACAATTTAGCCTCACTCAAAGATACTGAATTAACATAGGGATAAATTTTGCATAGGAGAAAGAACAATGCATCTTATATAAATTTATATTCATACTCAACTGCAAAAACTGGAGCCATCTTGCCATTGTCAATTATGTTTCCTGTCCCTACTTTTTTTTTTTTTTTGGAGGAAGCCTTATACTTTGAGAAAGGAAACAAGAGGAAACAAGCATCTTCTGGTAGCCTTTTTAAATCCTTTAGGAAGAGATCATTTGCTTTATAATGGGTTTAAACTGTGTTATTTAGAGCTAGAGGAAAGTGTTAAACAATAGGGGAACACCAAACTGCTAATGAAAATATCCTTGATAGAAAAAGAGCCAGGAAGGTTGGCAGAGGAAGAGGAGAATTCCCAAAAGTCTGCTAGTAAGAAAAAAGCCACCAGTTAAATAAAGTTTCCCTTATTTTTATGGTAGCAATGCACTTTTAGATAAAGCTGTGTATCACTTACTTACAAGTAAAAAGAAACAATGCAATGCTTTGTCCCACAGACAATTAAAAACTGCAGTTCTTATCAGAACATGGCTTGGTTTATTGCTTTTAAAAGCCATAATAAACACTATTAAAGTTACAGCCCTGACACTGAACTTGCTTTCCTGGCACCTAAACTCTCAGTTGAAGAAGCAAATCTGTAGGAGATAAGAAAAAAAGGACAGAAAACATGAGTAAATTTACTCAGACATTCTTCTGACACTGCCACTCTGGGAGTTCCTATTTTGTGACTCATCCATCTGATCTGATACTTTTCTAGCTAGCCTAATTTCATTGCTTTTTAGTCATCCTTAAAACGAGTGAAAGGTCCAACTCTGTGCAAGCTCCATGCTTTTTTCTAGGAGGATGAGCAACAGGAAGAAAAGCTGACACTTCCATATGGTTGTAGTGTTTCCCCACTCCTTTCTGCTCTCAGCAGAGAACAAAGGAAACCTCAAGAGTTTTTTAAAACTTGTTTGGAAACATTACTCCTTCCATTCCATTGCAGGACTCCATATGGCACTGAGAAAAATATATTTGGGAGGGTGAGATGGGAATAGCATATCAGAGCAAAACACTTACAGTCCTGCAGGTGCTTCCTGGTGACTCCATACAAATACGAATTCTGCAGTGTAAGTAAACCACAGAGTTGTTGACAAAGGAAAAAATTTTCATCTTAAACTGAGCTTTGCTCGAATTCCCATTTTCCAGCAGTGTGGTGTAAGTATTTGGGATGGGACAGCTGAAAAGGGAGACAAAAACCACACAGAGCAGCTAAGGCTAGAGAAAGCAGGTTTTGGTTATAGCACAGAACTTGAGTTTTAAGGCTTTCCTTCCTTTAGGAAAGGACCCTTCATGAAGCAGCTCTGGCAATGCATTGGTGATAAGGGGCTGTTTGCTCCTTTATTCTCACAGTAACCAAGTAGAACAGGAGACTGAGAAGTGGGTTGGAGAGTTGGAGAAGAAGGGAAAGTTAACAGAAAGAAGGATTTAAACTTGGCTTCACCAAACACAAATTGAAAAAAAAACCATCAAATTTAAAGGACTAGATTTTGTTACTGAGCAAAATTATTATCCTGTATTTTAAGGTGGCAGGTGAGCCTAAGAAAAATTACATTGGGGTGAGATCAGGGATCCAGACATGAACAAACCTCCTCTTTCACCAGAGGCTGCTTTAATATTATATGTGATGAATTAAATAACACATTTCCTTGTTGACAAGAGGCACATAAGCTCTTGATAAAGCTGAAATCACAGAGAAACCTCTGAACTGTAGAGAAGGAGATAAAGCACCCACTTCTCAAATGCTCTTTCACTACTTGCTGCCAAAATCAACTTCTAGCGATTTCTTCAGGTTAAAGGCACAATTCCCTCACAAAATTGTAAAGAAGAAAACCAAACTCAAAAAACTTCCACATGGCTCTCTAAAATCCCTTTTCATATCTACCTTTCTTGTTCAAAGAAGGTGTAACTAGACCAATAGAAAGGATGAGATGTGCTCTCATCATGTGAATGATGAGGACACACATAAAAAGCATTTAAAATATAAGATATTATTAGTCAGTACCAGTGTGAGACCTAAGGTATGGCTCGTGGTATTTGCAAATTGCATTGCTGTACCTGTTGCTGATAAAAACAAATGACAGAGGATCCACTGAATTATTGGTTGGAGTGGCCCAGCAGTCAGTGAGAACCACCTTGAGCTTGTTGTCTGCCCTCTGCATCCCCACTTCGATCAGCACATCCTCACTGGCAGAGACACTGAAATTTTTGGGGACTGGGGTGTTTCCAGTGAACAACTGCATTTCTGTTCTGAAGTGTCCAGATCCATGCAAATCCTCAAAGATGGTGTAAAGTCTGAAAAATCAATTATCCTTCTTTAAAGACCACAAATTTGACTATAAAGTTCTGCAAGTCTTAAATCAGTCCCTGTTGTCCCACATATTGATACAGTGAAGGGTTATCTGCAGTCCAGGATAGCAGGACACTGTTCAAAAGGAAAGGTGAAAATGCATTGAGTTTTCAGCTGGGAAGGTAGAGAGCATGGAAACACAAATGGGAAAATCCAAAGGGTGGTCTCAGCAATTCTAACAGGGCAGAGAGAAATACCTGAGTGGAACAGAAGGGGAACAAGACTATGAGCTCTCTGAAAGCTCAAAATAAGAGAGTAAAAGCTTAGTGCAGAAGAGAAGAGCCAAAAAATTGAGACAAGGAAAATCTGAACAGAAAGTGAAAGACACGAGAAAATTATAGAGCTCAAACAAAAGTGGCCTGACAAGACTTTGCTGGGGAATAGAAAGGAAAATACAATCTCTAGACAGGGCTAGGAAACAGAAACTGGATTTGGTGCCAATAGTTTAAGCACAATGATGGGAAAGAGAAGAGGTGCACTTGTATGAAGGGAGGACACTCCACACGAAAGAAAGGCTTGTGCTGTCACCTTTTCTGTCAGCACAGCCTTGATTTTCCGTGAATTGTGGCTCTGATTCCATATTTCTTGAAGGTGGGGCTTTCCACAACAAAAAGAGTATTTGCATGATGTATCTCCTGGTTTTTCAAGATGACCACAAAAGGATTTGTAGGGGGATAAAAACTGCCATTCTCAGAAGCCACACAGCAATCTGCAGGCCCACATCAGGTGGAAAGATACACAACTGATATGTTCCAAAAGCAGGAAAATGCTGTTATTGATACAAGGGATTGCCCAGGAAGGCAATGAGAAGATAGGAATTCTGACTCCTGAACCAGCAGTTCCCAAAGGTTTATTTTCACTTGTGGTTTAGCCAGGTAAAGGTCAGCTGGTTGGATCTGCTGGCACAATAGTTGGAGTAGGAGAGAAGCACACAGCAGGGATCTCCTTGGTGCCTTAGACTGGCTACCTAGAACACAGGCTAGACAGAGTTAGAGAATAAAGTGGATATTTATTAAAGGCCTTTAACAGATACCCCTTGGGCAGTGCAGGAACCTGGCAGAGGCTACACCCATGATGGATGATGGTCATGAGTTTTTCAGGCAGATAGAAGTTTGGTCTATTTACAAATCAGAAGTTAATTGTCCAGGTACAGCTTCAGGTAATGAAGTCACGTTCCCCTGGTTTGCTTCCCCCTCAGTTTGCTTTTGTTTATACTTTTCAGGCCTGAGGCTGTGAGATGTCCTTGGTTCTCAGGCCTGGAAGGATTGTTTTGTCTGACCAAACTGTGAAGAGAGCTCACTAGCACTCTATATGGAGTTCAGAGTTATACACTAATGCAGTACAGGGTGTGAAAAATATAAAAGCTAAAACTTAAGGCATCATTCTGAGCACAGGACTCCCAGGATGGCAGACTGCTCCCAGTGTTGTCACTGGATACAGCCCCTGGGGGTTTTTTTCCCAGTGCAACAGCACTCAGCCACACAGCAGAATTTCAAAACAGAGAAGTTGTTCCTCACCTTTCTGCAGTGTACCCAGAGGAAGTCAAGACATCATTTTGAAACACACAGTGGATAGGACTGGCAACGTTCAAGTGGTGGATTATTCCCTGAGCAGAAACATCATTCCGAAGGGTGGTTTTCACCACAGTAGTAGTCGTGTTCTGCAGCACAGAAAGGAGAAAACACATCAGTATTTCCAGGGTTGCACCAGAGCTTTCCAGCTTCAGGTGCTTGGGTGTTCTCCTGACAGCAAAACTCAAACAGATTAAACCTCCAGTATCTTTGTTGCTGTACAGGGAAGCAAAGAGAATACACCAGTCTTCCTTCCTTTTCCTTTTTGTCATAGCATAGAATCACAGTTTGGCTGGAAGGGATCTTAAAAATCATAAAGTTCCAAACCCCCTGCCATAGGCAAGGACACGTTCCACTAGACCAGGTTGCCCAGAGCCCCATCTAACCTAGTCTTGAACACTTCCAGGGATAGAGCAATGATCATTCCTTATCAATGGTCATTGCTCCAGAAGGGAATGTCTGTTCTTTGGCATGGTCTGAACATAGCCATTGCTTTGGGATCTAAAGAGAGCTATCACTCTTTGTCCCCATTACTGGTAACTACAGAAGTATTTGTCAGCATGAGATGATGAAATTACTTTTAAGAAAAGACAGCTGCAAAGGGAACCCAGAAGAGGCATGGGATGTGACTCTCAGTTTGGATGCCCCTTCTCTTTGGTGCTTCTCATTGCACACTGAGAGGTAACTTTCCATCATAGGAAGGGGATTTCTTTCTCCAAAATACATTCAGCAACTAATAGACTGTATACCTAGCTAAGGATCTGCCACTGCCTCTCCCCTCCTGAAAGAGAAATAAAGTGCTCCAGAGCTTGTTGGCATTCCTTTGGTCAGAGGACTTACAGTCTCAACTTGGGTGCCACAGTCACTCCAGCCCGCCTGCAGCACAACGTGGGTGTCATTGCTGGTGCTCACATTGCAGCCAGGCTCCCCCAGGAACAGGGAACTCTCTGGAATAGACTCCTGCTGCAAGAATCTCTTCTGGATGGCAAGGATGATCCTCTCAATTTCACAAAACACACTCACTGCGTCTTTAATGGAAACCTCTTGGGCAGGTTTGACAAGTGGGGCTGGAGATGCTCGAGGAGAAACATCAGGAGGTGCCATGGGATTGCTGGTGAGAGGAGTCAGCACCGTGCTGGAGAACTTGGTGTCCTCCAGAGCTTTGTGCTCAGCAGGAGAGAAGTCCAGTGAAGCAAGGGAGGAAACATGAGCTGAAGTTTGCAAAGATGTCACAGGTAAAACTGTGCTGTGAACAGGTTTCTCATCCATCATTGTTGCCTTTTGGATGAAGGGAAGTGCTGAAGAGTGCCAAAAATAAAGTACTGTTGTCATTTACATGTTCAGATTGGTCTCATCAAGCAAAAGCAAACTCTTAGGGGGAAACTCACAGTTACTGGAAGGAAACCAGCTCCTTTTGTTTTTTTAACCTGCTCTACTTACTGCCAAAACTGGGATGTTTTTTAGAAAGGAGCCTATGAGACATATGAAGTGTCCATCAGAAAAGCTGAAGTGCTTTATTTCCTGACAGCTGCAATAATTAGTGTGTAACACATGTACATAGACCTTTTGGAAGATCAGTGCTTGCACAATATCCCCCACTGGAAGTTGCTCAACAAATGCTTTTACGTTTTTGCCTGGAGCTGTAGGAGACTGCCCAGTTCTGGCTGGAGGCATAAACAGGAGCTTGATTTAAAAAAAAAAAAACAAAACAGGCCCCATTTGAGACCAGTTACTACCCAAAAGATGGGGCCTTGAATGCTTTGGAAAGCTCATTTTGGGGATACATGGGACAAACCTCATGTGGTAGCCCCATATTGCATGTGTGTCCTGAGAGAGATGAACAAATGTGTCAGTGGCAATTTGTAATAGTTCCAGGAACAAAAAAGTGGGGGAAAAGGGAAGCTCAGGTTCAGATCAATGTGTGTGTTAAACACCCAACACCCAGCACAGGTCTGGGGTTACACCCTGACAATTCACCCACCACTGGCTGAGGTAGAATCAAGACAATAAATTCCATTTGCAGAGAAGCACAAACAATGTGTCTCATAGCACAAAACTTCTCTTAAATCATTTTAGTGGCTTAAACATAAAAATACCACCTATTTCCCAAGCAATATATAAAATCTTTATATATTTATAAATCTTTATGGAACTGCCCAGCTTCCAGAAATGCCCCAAATGAAAGTCACTGATTTGCACAATAAAGGAAGGAAAATAAAAGCTCTTCCAGAGCTGGATTTCCCAAAAGCTTATTATCTATCTCAGTTAAAATTGAACAAATGATGGTATCAATTGACAAATCATTGTGACTTCAGTAAAAAATGTTCCTTATCATAATGGTTAAAAATCCAAAAATAAATTACAGAAGAAGCCTAAGAGAATTTAGGAAATTAAAGACCCATCATACATCAGCTAACAAATGACCTGAGGAAAGAGAGAAGCCAGATAAATCAGCTCACACAAAAATGCAGTTTGTAACCAGCATTTCCTCCCTGCTGCTATACAGAGGTCGAGCAACCTATCCAGTACTTTCTGTATTACCTCTTCTGTCCCCTCTGCTACTGCTAATGAAAATCAGTGAGAATCTTGTCAATCCTGTCTAATGTTTGTGGCAAATATGAGAAACAGAACTGTTAAAAGAACCTTACAGCATTAAATATTAATATAGTATATTCCCAGTCCTAAAGTGATCAACTCCCCAAGGGGATGCTTCTAACCCCAGAGGCCTCCTCAGTTTTTCCCCCATTTCACAATTCTAGGGAGATGCAGAGTAAATGCCCAGCAGGCTTGTGTTACTGGTCCTGATTGCAGCTGCTGTCTTAATTTTTATCTGGCCAAAATTTTCACTTTTGAGAGAAAAAAAATGCTTTATTTCTCTTTCTAAAGTCTAAAGACCAGAGCAAACCAGATCATAGATGGGACTCAGAAAGCAGCACCAGCCACCTGTTCTTTGGGGACCTGTCCCTGAAACAAACCCTCTGTTTTAGTCCAGGTTTGAGAGGGGCAGGCACTCTACAAAGCACTACCACAAGATAGTTGTGATCCTACTAATTACCAGGATATGTAACTTTCCAGATTTACAGCTGTGAGTGTCACAGGCAAAAAAACAATTATAGAGCAGAGCATAAATACGTTTCTGAAGCAATTTTGCATGAGATTCTAATTGACAGCTTATAATAACATTCTTTGTACAAATGGATCATGTTAGGGACACAGTATTTGGTTTTGTTTTTTTCAGAAGTGACTTGTGAAACAGAATTCAGCTGTTCTTAGTCAAGAGGTTAATGGTTTTTGTTACTTACTTCAATTACATATAAAAGAAAAGAAGTTATACAATCAGCCATCATGCTGGGCTTGGCAAAGTGTGGGCTTTCACCTCAGCTCCAGACCCACAGGTGTGTGAGGAAAACCACTACTCCCAGTGAAGAAGAACTCACATGTTCATTTATTTCTTGGGATTTATATTTCATGGAAAAATTATCAGTGCAAAGCAGAGGGTAATGTGTTCTTAAATTATTTTAAACAGTGCTAGTTATGCCTGTGTTCAGGGACTCATTTCCACTGATATAAATCACTCAATCCACGACTTCTAACATCTCCTCACCTTTTTCTCTGTAAAACTGATTCTAAATATTGTCAAAAAGACCAGTTTTGTCCTTTTGGATCAGTGGTATCTCACCTCCTATGTCATCTGTGGGTGTTCTCTGAAAAATTTAGTGGATGGATAAGCAGGAGCAATACAAGGAGAGAGAAAGGTTTTTCATGCCTGCGTTTTACAGATCTTTTCACCTCAGAAGACACAGATTAATAACAGCTTTTATCATCTGTCTGGCTTTGAAGAATTACTGGGGCACAAGCTGCTCCTCACCGTGTATGGAGAGGCTGCTCCTGTCGATGGTGAAGTAGGAGCTGTGTTCCAAGGCCTCACAAAAAGCAGTGATGACATGGTGGACATCCACTTCTTCTGCAAGCAGCAAATTGAAACTTACCACTGTGCTCCCATTAGTAACACCCGTTACCAGCACTTTAACCAGACCAGCATCCATCTGCTGGAGCACCTCAAGGGGCAGAGATTTATGCACCTGGAATAAAAATAAAATGTGCGTGGGGATGGGGCAGATGGAGCAATTACATTTCAGGCTGTGTACACTGCTCAGAAATGAGTGTTGTGCTTCCTGCTCTGGAGGGAAGCAGCAGCAAATTGACCTTTTGCTTTGTAACATTTTCATTCCAGAGCAGCTGAAGGATGTGGTGCACTTTTAACCATGAATATTAAACAAGCCAAGTGATTAAGATATATCTGTCATTTGGCACAAGCCCTTGCCTCTGGTAACAGAAAGGGAGGGAGGGAGGAGGCTGCAGGGAAGCTCCCAAGTTCTGGTTCTCAAAATGCCTCTTGGGAGAGGGGCAGTCATTGGATTGACAAGGAATTGCTGGTGGAAGTGAAGGTGCTCCTGACACTCCACATTGCCTCAGAGGGCTCACTCAGCCCAGGAACATTACAACTTAGAGCAGGTGACCTTCAAGCTTTGCTTTCCAGCTGATTTCTCACCAGAGCCAAGCAAAACCCACCCCTTTCTAAATGCCCAAACCAGGGTATTAAGGGGCCAGGTAGGGGCTACACTGTGGCCACCTCCATCTGCATCTTCCTCTCCCTGATTTCTGCACGAAATATCTGGAACAGCAGGGCTGGATTTCAGCCATGAGTTTAAGGCACAGTTTATTTCAGTGTGTAGTTCTTGGGGATGCCTGGTGGGAATCACCAGGAAGAGCCCAGGGAAGAGGCAAACACTGGGAGCCACCGGGAGAAGCAGCCTTGTTTGCCTTGCACCCCCGCACAGAACTGGTGCATTTAGTGCTGGATTCTCACAGCTTTTGCACAGCCTTGTGCCCTGCCTGCTGTGCATTACCCAGCCCTGACTTCCCCACTGTCTGTGATCCAGCCCTGCAGATGGTCCCAGGATTTGCAGGCGTCCTGCAGCCCTTCCCTGAGTCACCAGAGCTGATGTGTTTCTCGTGCTGGGTGCCAAGGCAACGTGGCACAGAGCAAACCCCCTGTGTGCCCCTGGAAACAGCTCCCATATGCCTGCAAGTCCCACACAGCAAACCTTGGAGTGCCCCACAGAGCACAGGCAGAGCTGGGAGGATGGAGACAGCTGGCTCCCCTCTAAAAACCTGGGCAGAACATAAACTGTCCTTGTCAGACCCCAGATCTCTCATTTCAAGACAGGGCCTCTTGGGCTCCTTCTACTCTCTCTTTCTGCTGTTTCCCAAGCAGGTACTGAAAAGTTGGAGGTCAGACCTAAGTTTTCAGCTTTCATAATTTTTGTCCGAACTTCTCAACATTAAATACAGACGCCTGTGACATCCTCTTAGCCCACCCTGATTTCATCTTCATTCCCAATTTGAAAATTTTATTAGTTGTTCTTTTTCACAGAATCACTGAGGTTGGAAAAGACCTCCAAGACCATCAAGTCCAACCTGTGACCAATCCTCACCTCGTCCCCAGCCCAGAGCACTGAGTGCCACATCCAGTCGTTCCTTGAACACCTCCAGGGATGGGCACTCCAAACCTCCCTGGGCAGCCCCTTCCAAGTCCTGAGCAGCCTTTCCATGCAGAAATTTCTCATGATGTCCAACCTGAGCCTCCTCTGGACCAGCTTGAGGCCGTTCCCCCTTGTCCTGTCACTTGTTCCCTGTGACAAGAGCCTGACCCCCGCATGGCTACGGTGTTTTGTTTCCATCCTTATTCCTATTTTTCCTCCCAAAGCAGGACCCAGAGCTCGAATAGCATCAGAGCACATTCATAGTATTTGTATTTAGCCACTAGGTGACACTACAAAACCCTTTATCCAAGAGACTCTAGGATTTCCCAACAGGTACCACACCCTGGGTTATCAAAATAACGCTTGATGAAGCAAGGCTAGGAAAAAAATGGGGGGAATGGAACTTTTTGAAAGAAATACTCAATATGTTATACCCTTGAGTATGGGGGGGTTCTTACAAGAGAAATTATCTTCAGGTCTGTCATTGTGTCTGCAATTTCTGAAGCACACAAAGGAAACCTAAGTAGGGAATGCACTGACAGTCTGGGAACTGAGAATAAGTAAGTGAAAGGTACAGCAATTTGAACAGAATATTGTTTGAAGATTGTTTTTTCACTCAGAGAGAAAAAAATAAAAACCCTTCCCCACTGTCTGTGGTTTGGCTGCACCTTCAGGGAGAAGGTACCAGAGCACACATCTGCCCAGCCACCATCACCAACAGCTTCCAGGACGTGGAGATGGAAAAACTCAAATTAACAAAATGGTGAAATTACACTGGAGTAGTGAAAATTCCTTAATCCCTGTTCCTACACTCATTCCACATTCATATAGCTTCAACTCAAATAATTTTATGTGCATTCAGCTGCACAAACACAGGCTATGTACCTTCCAAATGAGGAAGTCACCTTCATAAGGCATTATCATTTATTAGTTTCACACCTTTTGTCACTCAGCTAAATTTAAGACACCCAAGTTCAAAAGAAGCTTTCTACTTGGGAATTTATTGCACCTCAGTGAATGTATGTTCAACTCAAACCTTTTGTTTTCCCAACTGATTTTCTTGAGGACAAGCCATGATATCCTTCTTAGGGTGTTGTAAAACACAAACTGAACAAACCCCAAGACTTAAAAACAACGTAGCTAAAGGTAAAAAAATATTTAAGTTGCATTACAAGAAAGGTGGTGGAACTGGCCTGGGCAATGACAGTGCAAGTTGTCACGTCAAGTTTTTACCTCCTTCTCATTATTTAAAAGATGATATTTCAATTTGCTGTGCTGCCAATTTAACCACATGGCACTTAAGTGCTGGGGATAAGGAACATTATACACATTAGGATTTATAAATCCTCTGAATTGTAGATTGTGACTCCAGAGACGTTTAAAAAAAAACCTCTGGCTAACTGTATTTAACTGGAACCTGAGAGTGCTTTTAAAGCTCATAAAACTTTCCTCATTTACTTTAAAAGATCCATTTCTGGTCTTCATAATCTGAAAAGAAAATATACAGATCTTTCTGGTCTCCTAAATTTTCTTTGGCATCTAGAAATACAATATTTGTAATATTATTTACAGCAGCTATGCAATGATAACCCATTTAAAGTGGCTCAGAGGTAGAAGGAATCAACACTAGCATCTCTTCAGCTGATCCACAAAACCAGAGTGCTGGGAAAAGGAGTTATTCCTCACAACCACAAGTGATGATTTTCTGCCTGAAAATTTGAGACCTGGGTAAAACTAACATATTTTATTCCTTTATGCAACCATTTTATAATTTTTCCTCAATATATTAGCACCCATGATTTTCTGGGCTAAGGTATCTGACTGAATGAAGAAAATGCATTAATTTCAGTCCATTTCAATACTGTGCTGTTCTGAAATAGCTTCGGGCAGAGCATGGTGCTGAATGAGAGAGAGGTCAGTGGAGAATTGCTCCCTTTTCACTTTGCTAATCACATCACTCTCATTTTGTCACAGTTTTTCTGATGTGACAGCTCAGGGCCAAAACAGCTCCAAGGAAAGCTGTGCTCTGCTAACACACCCAGAAAGGTGCAAACCAGTCGTGACAGTGGGAAACTGATTTGGTGTCCAAAAAGGATAAATGGATCACCCCCTTCCCTCCCTGCAGCTGTCTGTGACCCCAGGCTGGCCTGGCCTCTGCCAGATGTGTTCCAGTGGCACATCATGACTCTGTCCCCAGTAAGTCTTGGGAGACCCCCACAGGACTTGAAAATCCATCAAATTGCCAGTGATGGATTTATAACCACACTTATCAAGGCCTCTGAAAACAGACAGTGAAGGGGAGATAAGGGAGGCAATAAAGCAGCCCAGTATAACCAGTGGTTTTCCAGGCATGGGTGTGTTTGAGGGAGCACCATAATGAACAAACTTCTAACAAGTTCACTGCAATATTAGATACTGTCAAAGGCAATGCCCAAGAATCCTGAGAGGGTTAAAGGCACAGCAGGTATCATGTTGTGCTTTGATATCCTGCACTCTAATTAGAAGTGAGGGCAGAGGTGACTTTTCAAGAAACCACTCCCTTTCCAGATATGGGGCCGCAAAATCCAAGATGATTACAAGAACTGTCAGCCTTGAGATACTGCTACAAAGGATAATAATCATACAGCTAATTAGGATAGTGCTGTTCAGGACAAGGGTATCAGAGCACTTTGCTACTTCCATTAACTTTCCACCACACCCCTGGAGGAGATCAATAATTCAGTATAACCAGATATGATAAGGAAAGGACATGGAGGTACTAGAGAATCCCAAAATCCTCTAGAATGATCCCGTAAAACACAGCTACACACTTATCCTGCAGCCTTATGCAGTTGGGAAGCCAAAGCTTACAGGTATGTCAAGAGATGCACATGAGTTACACAGGTTTGGGGGGAAAAGGATCATACACAGGGTTTTATTGAGACAGGTAACAGGTCATGTCTTTCTTCACCACTTACTTCATCAACAAAGAACTGTGCAACGGTTTGATATTCCTCACTGCTTGTATTGCTAAAGCCTGGGGAGTACTCCATGTTTGTTATCCAAACTGTGCCACTAACATTCTGGAAGGCTGCAAGGTAAGAAAAAAAGACAATTTCTACATGTGCTTTATGGACAGGTATGTCACAATGTCCAGCATTCCTGACCACATTAATCAACTCACAGCAGCAGAAGGCCAGCCCTCTGAAGTGTAGCCCAAACCCCAAAAGTCTAAAAATAAGTCATCCAGCATCTTAGTCTGCCCTGTCTGAGCCCCAGATGATTCTCAGGAAAGGCACTGACCTCCTGTAGGTCTCATATCTGCCAGCTCTGCCTTGGATGCTGGGGGATGTCTGGAATATTGCTCTATTCAGGCACTGGAATTGCTCTCCCAGGCTCAGCTGGTTGTCCCACCAGTCCCTCCAAAGAGAAACCATTGCAGCACCAAATCCTCCCTGCAGCCTCAGAGGAAGGCTGGGCAGCTGCCTGAGCTTACACATCTACACTTCGGACAGCTGTGGTGGCATGAGATGAATCCCAGCAGGGTGTACACTTCCCCCTTAGCTCACATCTGCTGAATGACATTAAGGCAGACTCAAACATTTGAGTTTATTTCCTGATTTCTCTGTGTTTCCCTGTATCTCTGGGTTTGGCATTGTTATACAGACACTGGAGTGATCAGAGATGAGAGAATGGGCTTCTCAAGGCATGGCTTGTGCCCCTGGCATCCATTTAAGTGATGATTGCAATTATCCAATGCTGGGACCATTGCCAGCAAATTGCCTTTGCTCTTCCCCCAGCTCCTAACAAACCATCACTCCCAGCACAGCAAAACATAATGTTTCAATGGGTTATATAAATACAGGATAGTCTTCACTAAAAACTTCAAGAACTTCATCATCTGGCTAAGGATTCCACTTAAAATTCTAAATCAAATTACCAGTGTTTACTTTCTGGTGTAGAAACCTGCTTTCCTCTCTGCACACCCCAGACTGCACCTCCACAGGTTATCAGGCACCAGGTTCCAGCTCTGAGACCATCAGATGCCTAAATTCAGTTTTAATCTGCCATTTTAGCTTCTTTCTTTGAAACAGAAGGAATTATAAAGCTCTGCATAAACTCTGTGTGCCACTTTACATCCAAGTTGGGAAAATAATCACTTGAACTAAGACAGACACTGAAGGAAAAGAAATAGTAATCAGCTAAAACTTTACAGGGGAGGGGAGAAATGCCTGCTTGAAGCAGACCATTGGAGGAGGGTTCCTTTATCCCAGCATAATTCTGATCCCAAAGGAATCCTCACCACTGACAGTCAGATCAAAGGATTTTTTGATGGCTTTTTGTCATGGCTTGTCCTGTCATGTGAACACCGGTATTTAGGGGATAAAACACATTCAGTTGTCTCAGGTGAGAAAGGAAAAACTTCTGAACAATTCTCAAATAATAATAAAAAAGCCCCCTGCTATTTAAAAAGCCAGACTATGAGGAGTTGGCTGAGGTTGAGCCTCCAGGTCAGAGAGGATGCCACAAGGAGGAGCTGTATGAAACTTCACCAAACATGGGCTTCTACCCTCTGAATTTCTTGCCCTGGGCTAGTGAGATGCCACTCTGGAGGCTCTTGCTCTTATTCCTTAGGCATAAGCCCTTCACAAGCTTCTTTCCAAGCAAAAGCACTTGCTGGAATATTTGATTCATCAAGAATATAAACCAAGTTTTTATAAATAAAATTTTTGTCTAGAATTCTTCAGTTTTTTTCCAGCTGGGAGCAGCCTTTATGGGGCTTTTTGTCAGTTAAAATCAGCTAATTTTATACTTGGAAAAGAAAAAAAAATCTGTTTTCATAAAAACAAAACAACAACAACAAAACAAACAAACAAACAAACAAAAAACAAAAAAAAACATCTTTTTTAGGAGGAGAGAAGACAGCAGTTGAACAGGGCATTGGTACAGCTGCCCAAACCAGGCAGGAAGGGACATGTGGTGAGCAGAGCTGGGGGGACAAGAGAGGCAGAAGAAGCAGCAGAATTAGCCTTACATGACCGAAAAAGGCATTTTCCAGAGAGAAAGGAATGAAGGAGCAACAAAAGTGGGGTTGGGTGAGTGGAGACCACCAGGAACATGAGATCACAGGAGAGGGGGAGATAAAAGAGCAGAGGGAAGTGTGACTTGGGATCAGAGAGATGTGGAAGGCATGAGAGACAGAATAAAGACAAGCAGAGGCAAAACTGAAATAGCCAAACTGAATAGTGGCACACTACAGAAAAAAAAAACCAAAACATTTAGTGATGGGCAGAGACAGCAGCATTCTTATCCCAAACAAAACTATAATTTTAAGACCAATCTGACTCTCTGAAATATGATTCAGCTCCAATCAACAGAAAAATCCCCTAATTAGCTGCAACACATCTGCCCAAACACAAACAGATTAAACCTTTGCCAGCCTTGTTGCTCTCAATTACAGCCCCTGAAGCAGTGTCTCCCAGGTTTCCAGGCAGCTCCTGCCTCACAGGGGATTTGTGGAGGACTCTGACTAATCATGCTCTGCTGAGAGGAATGGGAAGGCAGGCCCTTTTCCTCCCTAAATTAACTCCACAGACAGCTGCTGCCGCCCTGTCCTTGTGCCAGAGGCTGCAGGAAAAACCAGGATGTGTGGCAAAAAGACAAAAAGCAAATGTTGCCGTGAGCCACACTCAGTGCACTCTTTTATGTGCTTCCTCCTCCTGGAGCTGAAGAAATGTAACATCAATAAAAGCAACTGCTAAATTGCCAGGAAGAAGAATCGCTTTCACAAGCTGATTTAGCAAAGAGAAAGTACCAATTGCCGCAGAAAATATTATTGATGTAGAAAAAAGTGCAGGCACCAGGGAAATCATTTTGGCATTGAAAAAATGTTGCAGTTATGTTGAGATGGACATGGCTGGCATTCCCACCAATCCTTTATTTGGAAAGCTTTACAATGGAAATCCTTTACATGGAAAGCTTCTTCTTTTAATTAACTCCTTTCACTCTAACTCTCACTCCTTCTTTCATAGACCTCTCTCAGGTAACTCTGACTCCTTTTCTTATAGACAGCTTCACACAGTACTGATGCCTTCTTTCATTCTGCCAGACTGGCTAAACTCAAGCTGTCCCTTTCCCAGCCACCTCACCCTGACTGTCCCTCACACATCTTCTTACCTTATCTGTCCCTTGCACAACAGCACAGCCAGCAGACTCTGAATCTCAAGCTCAAACTGCAAGAGCCTGTAACTAGCAGGCAGCTAAGCCACTCTTTTATATCCCCCAAACTCACTGGGCAGATACAGATGCCATTGGGGAAGATTGCCTCCTGCACTATCCTTTCAGCCTAGCTCTCCACAAAAAAATAGTTTTAAATGTCTTTTTCCAAACTCTGAGTAAGGCTTTGCCTCTTTCTCAGGTGAATTCCCATACATGTAGATCCCATGGAATGGGTACTCACCGTGGTCCAGGCTGGGGGCTGCAGAGGTGCCTGGCAGAGCTGGTGACCCCAAGGCTCCAGCGTGTCCCTCAAACCAAGAGTTGCTGTCCCTTCCCACCTCTCCATCTGCTCCCAGAGTGGCAGGAATGTCAGCCTTCCCTGTGGCCAGCACAGCTGTGTCAGGGCCACCTCGAGAGCTGGCTTGGGGCACAGCAGCAGCTGTGTGAGTCCTGGTGGCAGCTGGGGCTGTTTGCTTTGGGAACAGCCAAGCTGAGCTGGGCTGCTCTTGCCTGGCTGTGCCCAGGGGTGCATTTGGGAGAGCAGCCTTGGCCGCCAAGCTTTGCTGCCATGGACTTGTGGCCTCTGTACCCATGGCCAGTGCCCTGCTGGGAGTGACCCCCATGGCCATGGGGCTGCTGTTCCTGCTGAAACCCATCTGTGGGGCCAGATCTTTTTCCCAGGGGGTTGGAGGAGCACTGGTGGGACTGTGAGATGCTTGTTCGTCACCCAGGGCAAGCGCAGCAGGGAGCAGTGTGACAGGGCTTGGCCTGGGGCCTGCAGCGGCCATGGCCTGGGTGGTGGCAGCGGCAGCAGGGCCTGCAGGCCTTCCTTCTTCCAGAGCAAAGTCTGTGCTGATTCTTATTTCAGGAGCCATGGTTTCAGTGAGAGGATCCACAACCTCACCTGCAACACAGCAAACACACCCTGAAACGGGGCCTGAAACTGCATGAGGAGGCACCAGGGCCTGGCCTGAAAATGGCAGCGAGGCCACTCAACCACCCACGGCAGCATCACAAAAAAAGTTCATGAACGTGGAGCACAACACGTGATTTTTATGGGGTCGGATCTGGTTTGTGCCAGCACAAAGAAGCAGATTTGTTTCCTGAGTCTCCTGCTCTGGTTGGCAAGGCTGTTGATCAATTCGGTGGGAGGAAATTAGCCAAAGACATAGCAAAAGGGGGAAAAGTACTCCTTGCAGTTATCAGGTTTATCAAGGATCTCAAAGACATTTCACCTGAATATATTTATTTTTTATAAATATATATTTATGTATGCTTGTATAATATATTATATATATGTATGTATTTATATAATTTATAAATAATAACTTATATAATCGATGAATAATAGTAATATTTTATATAATATATATTAATATAAATTATAGATGTATATATGTTTATACATATATATACATACATACATACATTATATATATATATATATATAGCTAGAGATAGGTCATATTTGCCCCTTCAGCCACAGACTGCAAAGGTGCAATTATACGAACAGATGCTACAAAAGCAGATGTAAAACCTCACAACTTATTCCAATGTTTGTTTCATGACCAAAAAATAAAACATAAAACAAACTACATGCTAGCCTTTTTCTCACCCTCACAGTTTCTTCCAGGTCGAGATGGATTGGTATCCATGGTTGTCTTGCACCTGCACATGTAGGAGCCCATCAAATTGATACACTCTGCAAACACAGAGCAGTCATTTTCAGCTTGGGAAGCACATTCATCCCAGTCTGTAGGACCAAAACAAGAACAAGGGTCAGAGAGCCTCCCTGGTGGCTGCATTAAGATAGAAGTAATCATTAAGTAGTCCTTTTTAAATTTACTTATGTGGTCTTACTTTTTCACCATTTACCTGTCAGCCAAGTTCTGAGTGATGCAGAACACTGTTTTGTTATTCTCTTGTTCTTCTACTCTGAAAAGTATTTTCTCTGAGTAAAGACTTTTTCAATAATTGTTTTTAGAGGTAAACACATTTAAAGTGAAAAACTGCTGTAAGTTTGTACTACAATTATATCAAAATCACTCACTATACCAAGTTCTGTGTATAGCACCTCCAGATATATCAGGAAATTAATAGATCTGTTACCAATAGCTACCAGTAGATACAGCATTAAATGGAGACTTAATCCAAATAATCTTCTACTTCAAATAAAAAGTAAATGCTATTAACTCCCAGGAGAAGCACTATTCTGTTCTTAACAGAGGAAGTGCTAAGGGCAAAATCTCTTTTTATACAGTTTTTCTCCTTAAAAGTAATGCTGTAAAACTGTGACCCTCTTTCTGGTAGTGTCAGAAAAGACATCCTGATTCATCAATGCATGAAGAGGCTCTAAGGGTTTTCCTTCTGTCTGATTTCAGCTGCTCTGAATCAGTTAGAGACACCTTTTCATGCAGTTATAGACCTATTTTATTGCTGAGTGTCTTCTCTTTTGAGGCATTTGTATCTGGAGTCTTGTGTTGCCATTCACACCCTGTTCCAGCAAATCTGCAAGGGCTGAGTTAGACAGCCCTTTGGACAGGAATAATTCCAGTGAATCCCAGGTGAGCCCTCCCTGTGTGACTGCCTCATGCACTTACCTTTGCTGCCTCAGGGCCCTGAGAGAGGGAGAGCAGCAAATGAGGCCGAAAACTGTGTCCTGTGACAAATAATTCTGATCAGAGGCTGGAAAATTGTTTTGAATAACAAATTAACCTAAATGCTTGTTCTGCAAACCTGCAGATTAATGATGGTGATTATTTCTCTGAAACAAAAGAATGCCCCATACATATATGCACTCATCTTTCTGCTTGCTTTTCCTTCCTTCTAGCTAATATTTCAATTCTTTTTACTTTTTTTGTCATTGGGTAATCGCTGTATCCATGATAGTCTCCATTAGACAATTTCATGTGCCTGTGGCCAGCCTATTATGTTCCAGCCTAAGCCACTTAGAGGGAATGCAGAAGCGTCCAGGATTGACTGAACACCAGAGATGAAATCTTGTTAATTCCTAACTGAGCTATGAAATAATTGTGACCCTTGGTGGCTTCCAACACCATCTGAGAGATGCTAATTGCCAAATCACTTACATTCACTGCCTCCATTGTCTCTGAAGGTTTCCTTTCTCCTCACTTAGCATGGCTTTTTAAGCAAATTCCTTCACCTCTGATGGTCACATTCAATCATGCATCATGTCAAAACACTGTCACTGGCTGGTGCATCACTTATGCACATACACACACACACTGCACTTTTTTCCTCTAAACCATCACATCTCAGCCAAAGTCTGCTCTGAGCTCTCTTTCTGCACTCTTGGCACCTGTCTGGCCCTTCATATTTGGCACTTCCCTACACACGTCTCAATCAACAATCCTAGTCCAAAAATTATTAAAAAGCCACCTTTGTGTTCATTCTGATTACCTATTATACACCTGTGAGGGGTACATGCAAAGAGTCAAAATCTGAAATTCCTTGCCAAATGATGTTGCAGATGCTAAAGGGTTATCTGATTTGATGGGGGAGATTCACAGGGGATAAACAAACCCTAAGAAATCCCTCTGGATTCAGGGAGTCCTGGAGCTGAATACAGTTGTTGGCTAAGAGATTATTAGTGAAAGGTGATGCCTTCTCCAGGAATTGGCTCCTGGCTGGTACTGTGGCAGTGACATTGTGCTAGAAGCATCTTGGGCCTGACTCAGCACACATCCTTCTCTTCTTTTCTTCTCTTCTCTTCTCTTCTCTTCTCTTCTCTTCTCTTCTCTTCTCTTCTCTTCTCTTCTCTTCTCTTCTCTTCTCTTCTCTTCTCTTCTCTTCTCTTCTCTTCTCTTCTCTTCTCATGCCCTACATAACAGATTTTATTGTCTCTATTCATCACAGCAATAAACTCAATAATTTATGGATCTTCAAAGAGATCTGGTCCACTCCCTTCAGATGTGCTGTCCCTTCTGACTTGTCATCCCTGCTTTTCACAGTTGAATGGACTGTCACTAAACCAAGGACAAAGCCTGGTGGTGGCCAGCCTGCAGGGAGGATCCAGGGGACAGGACCTGGGTGGGCTTATTGTCAAAAGTCATGTCCTGGGGCTCTCTGGAGTCAGGAAGTAAAATATCCCATTATACAAATCTTTCCTTCACATGTTTCACTCCTTATTTTCCACTTAGGAAACTCATGTTGAAGAAACTCTTCTTTGGGTAGAGCTGAGAAATAAACCCCTTTTCTCAGCCCCTAAGGAGGAGTGGGGTGTTGTGCCTCTGGATAAATGTGGTGCTAGTGGAAGACACATGGTTTTCTGCAGCTAGAGTGACAGTCCAGAGCTATTGCCTTCTTCTTCCTCAGCCTTTTGGTCCCAGGATCAATAACATTTATAAAGTATTTTGGCACACATCAGCATCTTGCAATTCAGTCTCAGCTGCCACTGTGATATTTGTCTCCTGTATTTTTCCTGTCCTGTTCTCCTTAACCTCCATATGCTCTGCAACTCCAAATGGAGTTTTTCCTGCTCAGAAAGGCTCAATACCCCAAGAGAGAAGAATAACCCATTCTGTTGACTTTGGCAACTTTATGAACTCTGCTGTCTCTGCCAGCTGGGAAACCTGAGGACAGAACTCAGTCCTTTGAAGATAAAATTGGTGATTACTGAAGATCAAACAAAGGCCTGCTTTAACATCAATTCCATGGGTGTTTCTTGAGTCCTATTCACAATAAGGACATTTGAGAAATCCTCTGGCTGAGTTTCTAGAGAGAAGATGTTAGATTTCTTAAACCTTGGCCCAAATACAGTCCCCTAGTCTTGGAGCACAAACTATCTAGAGAGTGTGTGTATCTAAAGGCTACAGATATTCCACAGTAATCCTGTCTGCCATTCAGCTCAAGAAAGATGTGGCAAACTTCCAGCTGGGGACAGAGAAGAGTGGGAGGAAAATGAATAGGGAAACCAAGGGCTCCACTTGGGTTAAACACAGTGAGGAGAAGCAGTGCCTGCAGGTACCTGGGGACAGCCAGTGCTCCTTTGTCTGACCCTTCTGGGCTTATGGATAAAACCCCTGGAAGAATTCTCACATCATGGTTTCTCTTCAACAAACCATGTCTTTGTTTCCCTATTTTGTGAAGAATATTGTTGATAATGCAGGTGATCAAAACACAAACGCTGCTTTCTTTGAAAAAATAATAACAAAAATTACCTTCTACTGCAGTGTTTTGCTGATCCACCACAAGCACAGAGCCATTGTGCAGGTGGGAAAGCACTGGGGCAAATGTGGAGGCATCCACTGGAAACTCGGGATCCTGCACAGTGATTCTGAGCCTCACAATGATGCTTCCTGCTGCCAGGGATTCAATCTGCACTTTCAGCTTCCCAGATTTGTACAAGGCAGAAATGTTGGGTGGAAATGAATTTTCAAGCTGAGCAAAGGAAGAGAAGCACTGACAATTAGGGAGCCAACAGGTACCTCTTTAAATATATAAACACAACATAGAAGATGTTGTAAAAAGAAAAGTTCCAAAGTGTTTCAGAAGTCTTATTTTTCAGAGATTATTGTGGCACAAAGTAATGTGAGTATCTTTGGTGCAGCCCTGCTGAGGACTTGGGGGTGCTGGTGGATGAGAGGCTGGACACACCCTGGCTGTGTGCACTAGGACCCAGAAACTCTCTGTGTGCTGGGCTTCACCGAAATCAGTTTGGGCAGCAGGAGAGGGGGGAATTCTGCCTCTTCAGGTGAGACTCCACCTGCAGAGCTGCCTCCAGCCCTGGGGCCCAGCACAGAAAGGTTGTGGAGCTGCTGGAGCCAGTCCAGAGGAGGCAAGATCAGAGCAGCTCTGCTGTCAGGAAAGGCTGAGAGAATTGGGATTATTCAGCCTGGAAAGCAGAAGGCTCTGGGAAGACTTAATTGTGAAATTCTAGTACCTGAAGGGAACTTACTGGAAAGATGAGGCAAGACTATTTACAAGGGCCTGGAGGGACAGGACAAGGGAGAATAACTTCAAACTGACAGAAAGTAGGGTTAGATTAGATATTAGAAAAAACTTCTTTACTGTGAGGGTGGTGAAGCCCTGGCACAGGTTGCCCAGACAAGCTGTGAATGCCCCATCCCTGGAAGTGTCCAAGGCCAGGTTGGACATGGCTCTGAGCAAGTTGGTCTGGTGGAAGGTGTCCCTGCCCATGGCAGGGGTTTGGAATGGGATGATATTCAAGGCCTCTTCCACCCAAACCATTCTGTGATTATGTAATTCTATGATACCTTTGAAAACTGTATCCATCTGACCATGGGTCTTACAAACCAAGTTCCAAATTTTGGCTCAAGGGACCAGAATTGCTCCTGGCCCTGTTTGCTTGCAGCAGAGCTGAACTGTCCTGGTAAGTGCATGCAGCAGACCCTTGATGTTATCTCTTATGTCACCTATGCATTTTGTTTCATTTATAAGTGTGGGCATGGTTTTAATTCCCAGGGAGCATTTGAAACTCGCCAGTTCAAGTTCAGCCTGCAGCTGAGTCAAATAACAAAGAAAGCTCAGGATGAGAGACAAGAAAAATGGGGGTGGATAGCTTCAAAAAACGTGTTTGAGACAGCCAAGCTTCAAGGCAGTATCACAACTACATCATGGTTCATTACCAAACCAGTGAGCAGTGACTTCAGCTGAACAAATGGCATTACTCTGAACGTTGAAGCTGGCACACTGCTGTCAGTATTTGAGCTGTGCAGGAGCTGGCAGTTCTACCTTACATGTCTAGCTCCTTGCTTGAGCCTTTTGTTCCTGCATCCACCTCAAAGCTGCCTTTGAGCACGAATGGCAGGGCCATAAATCAGCACAGCTTTGTTCCCATTCAGACAGAGCTTGCTCGAAAAGATTCCTACAAACTGTTTAGCTGGTCTAAGCTCACATCAGGGTAGAGAGGCAAGAAAATGAGGAGAGAAGAAATGAGAGGGGGATGTTGTGTTCACAAACACCGAAGGAAGCAGAAGCAAGATGGGCAATGCTCCTTTTTCTTCCCAACCCGATGAAGCCAATCAGGTCTGCATCAATCTCAGAGAAGACTCACTCACCAAAATCTTCCTACACAACAAAAGCGAACAATTTGCAACTGTGCGAGATAAAACCATGTGAGGACGTTCAGCTAGCAATTTCTGTTGGGCAAATTCCTCTTCTCTGCTGCCCTTGAACTATTGCTCCATTATAGTTTTGGGGTTTTCTCTTGCATTTAAATTCACACATGATTATGAGTCACCCTTTGTTTTGGGGAAGCCTTGTTTTGGAGATCCCAATTCCTCTCTATGGGCCCTGTTCTGTGCAGCAAAGCTGCAGGAGATTGCTCCACCTGAAACCTCCCCCTTTTTTTTTTGGAAGCTGAGAGCTGGCATCAGACTTTGTGACTCAAGTTTTGTTTCTGGCTGATTTCACCTGACTGTGAACAGTGGCCATGTGTGCAGGCAAGGAATGGGGCTGAAGAAGAAAGCCTGATCCAGCTACTTTTCCTGAAAGAAGAAAGTAAGACATTTATTGAGCAGACTGTGCTGAAATGAATGCCAGGAACGCCATTTCAATAATCCATTTAAAAGCCTCAAGTTAATTTACTGTGAGTTTATTGCCAAATTAAAGATCCAAGGGAAGGAGCCCCTGTTGCATGCCTGCATTTTTAATTCCTTCACTCTTCTGTAGGGGAAAATTCTCACTGGCTTCATTGCTAACAAGGCCAAGGACTTGATCTGTCTAGGCAGTTGAATTTTGTTGTTATTATAAAGAAAGGTCACAGGAAATAGTATGCTGATTTTGAAGGAATATTTCATCCACGCCTAAAATCCTCTATTAGATTAAATAAATTTTAGATTGAAAAAAAAATATATAAATTAGCCAGAAATAGAATCATTTTACCTCTGTAAGCAACAGTCTTGAAAATTCCTCATATGCTGAGCTGCTGGAATTATGGAAATCATCAGTGAAGTTGTAGTTGAGAATCCTCATAGTAACATCAAATATCTTGGCCTCTGTAGGACACAACATTAAAACACACTGACAAAGTAGGAAAAGATTCAGTTAAAACTGATGTACCTGGACCAAAATCTCAGGTGATGGAAGAAAGTAGGAAAAGATTGAGAGAGACTGGTATTAAATAAAAAAAAAATAAAGCAAATAGGCTCTTACAAGCTTCTGATACATTGAGAAAATGCACTTATATCAGGTCTAAAGATATATTTTGGTGCCTAATTGCAACTGCATGAGAACTGGGTGTACACATACTTTATGTGTGGGTTTACACATACCTAGGCCTGGCCCTACAGAACTCCTGCCTTGAAGTTACACCCAGGGTTGGATTGTCTGTGGGCTCATCTCTGGCCCAGCAGTCACAGTTTTTATTCCTTTATTTTCCTGATCTTGGTTGAGGGAATAGTAAATATATTCTTAAACTGAAAATACAGCAAAAAGCTGTGCATGTGTGTGTGGTGAGCCCTGACAGATATTGTACAGAGCACAGGAGCCAAAACCAAGAGCCAAAGAATCTCTAACTGCTTTATCCTGTATAAACACTCTGAGGCTGTTACTCCTTGGACTGATCCTTGGAAAACTTTTCTTTTTCTCAAGGGCTCCAACTTCATACTCTGAAGTTCAGCCCTCTGTTTTCATAACCACTAGACCTCCTACTTTCCCTCCACAAAGGGAGTAATTTCCTTCTGACCCAAACTGGAGTCATCCTTCATCTCATCAAATGGAAGGCTCTTAGGGATAAACATGAACAGCAGCATTCCCACTGTGGTCAGTAATAAATAGTTCACTGCCTGCTCTTTGAAAAAAGGGGGAGAGATTTATTCCTTTATTTGCATGGAGGCTTAGGAAATAATTTTAAGACTAGAGAAAAAGCAAATTTATGTTTGATCAACACACTAGGGCCTCAGGAAGCTCCCACCACCAGTTAATTGAACAGAACTGGGCAGGTAGTGTGCAGCTTAATTACTCAGTCCTTGTAATTCCCTTTAATCCTTTTTTCAGCAGAATCTGCCCTTCCTCTGGGCACTCTTGTTAGCTCAGCTGAGCCCTTGACAAACCAGTTGCCTGCATTTCCCACTGGCCACAGCCATCAACCAGGAAAAAAACGAGGCCTGCTGGGAGATGAGTGGCAGCAGAAAGCAGTGCCAGGCACCAAAGAAATAAATTTTTAAAGAAGAATTACAGCTTAGCCTGATATCTGTAATAGTCTAATCAGCTCCAGCACTGCTTTATCAGCTAAGGCCAAAGCTCTGCTGCCTGGTATTCTGGGTTGGATAAATGCTGGAGTAGATGAGATAAAAAGTGCTGAAGAAGGTGGGAAATGTTCAGTGGGGACCAAAGGATCATTGCTAAACTGCAAGTGACTGAGGATGGAAGGAGGAGAAGGTAGGAGATAGAGATATACTATCAAAGTGTTTCTTTACCTGTTTTAACATTTTGACTGGAGATAATAGTTTTTCCACAAGTTTCATAGCTGATCTCTACTGAATACATCACACCTGCTTCCAGGTGAGACACATCCATTTGCATTTCCTCTGTCTTCAGGTCTTGCACAGTTTCATTGCCCTTGGACACCCGGACTTGGAAAGTGTGGTTCAGAGTGGAACTGACAAGCCAGGACATTTCAAAGCTGCTGCTGGTGACGCTGAGGATTCGATGGTTTGTAATTGCAGAGGGATCTGTTGCAGTCCCAGGAAGAGTTGGCACAGAAAAAGCAACATTTCACTTTTAAAGCCTTGTGCTGTTCTAAATCCACTATGGACAAGCACTTTGACAGCCAATAGGGTAAGGTTCTCTTTACATCAGGACAGAATCTGCCCCTCTCACATTAGCATATCCCCTCATCCATGAACCATCCCACTGGATGACTGATTTAGTGTTTAACCTTTTTACTTCCTTTTACTATATGCATTTCTGTTGAATAATAGAATCAAAAAATAGTTTGGGCTGGAAAGAACCTTAAAGATCATCCAGTTCCACTCCCTACCATGGGCAGGGACACCTTCCACTAGACCAGGCTGCTCAGAGCCCTGTCCAGCCTGGCCCTGAACACTTCCAGGGATGAGGCAGCCACAATTCCTCTGGACAACCTCATCTCCTCCAAAGCTCCAGCCACATATATAATCAGCCAGTGAGCTACAGGTGCAAGCAACAGGAATAGGTTTAGAAGAGTGATTCTGGGTATTCTGCATGTGTTGACACCTGCTTTGCCTCCTGTCACTTTAATCATCAAAATGCACCCCTTCAGGCAAAGGTTGCCTGGATTTATCCTGGAAAATCCCCCCAGAGCCCAGCTAACAGAGGCTGGGGGAGAGTGGCATGCAGCACCTCACCTGTTATTCCACTCTAGTCCAGTGCAATCACTGTCATGTCAATGGGAAAAGAGAAGGCCCTTCAGGGATGATTCCCCTCCTGGGAGGAGGAGGATGAGTTGTCCTGCAGCAGAGCCAGTCTGTCTGGCTCAAGACAGACAGCCCAGACAAGATACCCCTGCTGGAGAGAGCTGGGGCCAGGGGAGATGAGCATCACACTCCATGCTAGCCCAGAGACCATGGCATGCTGCTGCCACAGTCTTTCATGCTAATGGTTAGACTAAGGAAAAAAAGGTTGTTTTCATGAATTGCTTTAATAGAACTCAATTGTTTCCAGCACTCTGAGCCAGGTGGCTGCCAAACACCTCCAAAGCCACTCCCCTCTGCACTAGAGGGGCCTCAGTTTAATTCCTCTGGCTTCAGCTTTGATCAAGTTGTGGATGAAGATCAAGAATATCTTGCCTGTCTCTCTGAACTCTCAAAGAAAAACTTAAATCTATTTCCTCCCACAGAAGAACAGGGTGTTGTTAAAAGGATTGTAATAACTCTTGCCTGAAAGGGCTGGATCACCCATATAAACACAAATTTACTGAGGTTTGTTCCTATCAAAAATCAAGAAAACTTTTATTAAAATCCAAGGTTACTTACAGCACCCAGCATCTCCAGATTGGTTGGTTATGGACAAGAGACTTGATTTCCTTATAGGAGGAGAGCTACTGCCAGTGTTAACAGCATTTATTGAACTTGGAGTGGATGCTACAATGCCTAGGGGAAAATCACATTATCAAATAATTAGAGTATTTCTAAGAAAGCAGATCCAAAATAATACCATTCATGTTTTCCACATGAAAAGCAGCAACAAAAGTAGTATAAATGGAAAATAAAAGTATTATCATATCACAAAAGCATAAAGTAATACGTTATCCTAATTTTTGAGATTAAGGGATTGTAAAATTGTTTTCTAACTAAAGCATCAAATCTGCAAGCAGTTTTTCATCTCATTATCTTAAAGCCTATTAGCAGGCCCATTGATGTCTGTGGGCTGTAAGTATATTTTGCTGAACTGGTAACACAAGGAATTATTTCAGCCAGTGCCAAACTGTGCTTGCAGCAGAGAGTTCAGCAGCAGTGCAGCAGCTCAGGGTGGGATCCTGTAACCACTGAGTCCGGGCTGCAGTCAAAACAGGAAAAAATAAAATTGTAGAAATAATGCCATTAATTGTTTCTCAAGAGAATGGGGAGGTGCACTGACAACAAGTGACTTGCTCTGAGAAGCAGTAAGGTCTGAAGTTTTAGGTTTTGGCAGGTGAGTAAGGACACCTGAGGATGAAATAGAGGAAACAGCAAGAGACTGTGAAATAAATACTCTGCATTTCCATCAGAAATAGGTAACAGTTTTATATGGCATTTTCTCCCAACAGGAGGAGAAGTGGCACTCGTGCTTCAGAAATTCCTGCAGATGACTCCTGCAAAGGAGCACAAAGTCCTGCAGGAACATCCTCAGCACTTCCCAAGGTGAGACCTGCATTTCTTACCTTCCTCCCTTGGGCTCAGCCAGTGAGGGATGGCAGTGGCATGTTCATGCTGAGGGTGGCAGCTGTAATAACCCTCCAGGTTTACACAGCTGCTTTTCTCAGGGCAAGCATTGAATTCAGCATAGGAGCATTCATTGACATCTAGGAAAAACAACACACCTTGCACAGATACTGGGAGCAGCATCAAGATTGATCTGCACTGTGTGTAGGCCAGGCTCTGGCTCTGATAAATTCAGTGTAAACCTGCAGTAATGTTGTTAAAGCCATTCTGGGTGTTATCATCTGTTGGAATCCTAAAAACTGAGAATTTTAAACTTTCTGTGCTGACAGGCACTGACCACCAAGAAAACACTACTTTTGACCTGAAGCTGTAGAGAAGACTTCCAAAATTAAATGATAGAACCAGGATTATAGGTGTGTAGTTTCAATAAAAGTATGTAATATCACATGGTGAAAAACTTAGATTTTAAGGTTTTAGAATATAGTAATATATATAAAGCAAAATAGAAGTTTTAGGGCGAAGATTTGTCTTTCTTCTTCGTCTTCTTCAGAGGTTTGAGTGATCTTGTTTAATTGAATAGAAAAAGTCTGCATTGTGGGCCACAAGTAATTAGTTATTAGGTTAAAAGCAAAAATAATTTAGGTGTCATTTCTTAATTAGACAACTGGCCCTTAAAAAACCTTGTAGAAAGAAAGCTACGTCTCCATTTTTAACTTGTTAGCTTGGAGTGCAGTAGAACTCACAGTTTGTGAGACTGTAATATAAATAAGAATTAATAAACATCTAAGTCAAAAAAAAAAAGTTGTCTTGTACATTTAATCCCAACTCTAACAAAACGAAAAATAAATAAAACACAATAATCACCCTATCACTTTTTACCCCAATACTTTGGATTTAGGGGACAGTTAGGGGCAGCTCCAGCTTACACTTGTAGGATGCCATCCAAACCTGAGATGTCAGCACAGGAGGAAGGAGGACTACCCAGTGATTTCACTGAAAGCTGGGCTGAGTAAACACAGAATAAGGAAAATGGTGCTTATGATTCATTTCTGCATAACTGCAGAGCAATAAGTAGACTGACATATTTTAAATTAATATATTAAAATGTTTATGTAACATTAAGAAAGTATATAGTAATATGCTATAGTAATTAACAGACTATAAATATGACTTGTTTCATACAGCCTACTGGAAGTAACATGGCAACAGAATATATTGCTTCCCAATAAAACAGGTTTTTTTAACAGTCTGTTTAATACAACTAATGATTGTGCTACAAATATGCACATATTTGCTTTTTCATCTGAAAAATATGTTATTGGGAGAAAACAAATTTTAGGGTTCAGAAGCATTCCCTTCCAAACTATTCACTCCAAAATAATCATTAACTCTCCATCCTCTAACAGAAAGGTCAGAGCCTCGTGTTTGCAAAGTTTGCAAGATCCTCTGTGCTATGTTTGAAAGCAAATTAATGGTTATATAAATGAGATCCCAAATGAAGAGAGGCCCCCTAAAATGAGGATTACAACCTTGCACTTGTGTGTCAATCACTTCATACACGTGCTTCACCATGGCCTCCAGGGAGGAGGAAACCTCTGCCAGGGCAGCTGGGTGGTGCATTCCAAGGAGAACCTGGGAGGCCACTGTCCCTGTGTAGATGTCCCCACGGGTACTCTGGATGTGATGCACAGAGACATTCAGGGGCTGCAATGCACCAGTGATCTGGAAAACAGGGCAGCAAACACTGGAGCACCTCTGTCATTCCCCAGCACGTGAATTATGCAATGGTTATTATCATAATCTGAGTGCAGAATTCAGAAATTCAGAAATTCAGAAAGCATGATGAAGTGCAACGTTTAGGCCTGTATTTATGCAAGGTGAGTTCTTATTTTCACATTTCACAAGAGATTGATGCCAAGCTAAGGGGGGTGTGGAGCTGATCTCAAAATGCTTTGGCAGAAGGAATAACCCAGGAAGAGGGAAAAGCCCAGCTTTGCAAAGTCTCAGTGGATTACAATGCATTACACAGCCCATGACAATTCAGCTGCAATAAAGCTGTCCAACACTTCTTACTCTGGGCAGCTAAATGGACTGCTGGCAAATGGAATAGAAAGGAAAAGAGGAAAAGCAATAGACTCAGGATGAGGGGTGGGATTAAGAGCCACAGAGAGACCCCAGAGACACCAAGCCATCCCAGCTGAGGAATGAGAGAAGGGATCTGCTGGTGGGCTGAGCATTAAGTCAGGGGAACAGACAGCAGGACACTGAGTAGCAGCTCATTGAACAGCTTCACCTCAACTCCCCGTTTCTGGAGTGTTTGTCTTTCACACAGCTTGTTTTACACCACGATATAAAAGCCTTGGTGGATCCCTGCCCCTGCTCCCTACTACACAGCAACAGGACCAGGGTTTCTTGCTTTTTTAGGATATGAGAAGGGGAAATCTGATAGGAGGAAGAATTACACACCCACGCTGCTGTTATCATTTCTAGTCTCCTGGCCATCAGTGCCAGCAGATTATGGCAGATAGGTTTGGCTTGGAAAGGCTTAACTTAAAATTCCATATCAGAAAACCTTTGAAGGTCTTGAATTCTGGTTCCAGTCTGTCACAGACCCAAAACTGAACTGAAACAGAGCTGGAGGAAGAACTACTTAAGCAGGAAAACCCCTTTTTATTTCAGTAGGTCTCTAAATTACCCTTGAAAGAGACCTGAAAAATTTGATAAAGAAGCTGATAAATCAATGTTACCCGAATTACTTAAGGACACAGCTGACATTCAGTAATCAGAAATACAGAAATAACCAGAAATAGATCAAAAAAAAAAAATCAGTCTGGCAGAACACAGGGGGAGCAAAGAGTGGCCCCTGAGTAACAGAATCATGGGCACAATGAGGGAAGAGTTCGATTTTGTACATACCATGGAGTGCAAAAGGCGGGAATGATTCAGAAGGTGGGAATCCACCCGGACTAATTCATTAAAATCCATTTTCACAAGCACTGTCACGTTGTACCAGAACATCCTCCCTGCAGCGTAGGAAATAAAACAGCCAAGTCATCTGAGGTCTGGTGCTGCAGAAGGAGACAGAGCTTCAGGGAGGAAACAAAGCAAGATTTAACTTGGCAAAAGTGAGGGGCCCACGAGCAGCCACCAGCCAGAGCCTCGTTTGCCATATGCCACAGGCAGAGGAGCCAGCCAAGGAGAAGGAGCCAGGGAAGGTTTGCTGGACCCACAGCACCCACACAGCACTCACTGCTCATGGGTACAAGCACTGAAGCCGAATATCCTGGAACCCATCCAAGGCAGATTCCCATATTTGTTTTAGGAAGAGCTATGGTAACAGTTTTCCTGCCCACTCCCACCCTCAGGAGGGAAAATTAAGGATGTTTCTATTAGAAGCAGTGTTGAATTTATCAGTAACATACCCTCTGGCATGGGATCCACACAGCCTGCTCCTTTGGATGAGCTGCAGCATTTTTTCAGCCCTGGACATTCAGTATCGAACGTGCAAGGAAAATCAAATGTTTCCATATCCTTCACTGGACAAATACCAGGTCTTGAGGCAAATACACTGGATCTATTGAGTGCTAAGTAACAAAAACATTTCTGAGAACAAAAATACAGACAGTCGTTTCTATAAAATGGTGATATTTAATTTATACCAAACACCTCCTCCTCATTTTAGAAGCATGTCTGTTCTGAGTCTTTAATGGGAAGAAAACAGCAGCCTAAAATCTCATTTTTTCATTTCAAGAGTGTAAATATTCTCAGATCTTTCTCTTGTCCATGACATTTCTGTTACAGAAATTTTGAGTTTCTAACTTTCCATTAATAATTATGGATGGATGGGCTCACAGTTAAGTCTCTAAATGTGGAGACACTGAAGCACTGGGAAACAGAAAATGTGACTGATGTCAGCTGTGACTAATCCAAATAACACATAATGATCAAAGAAAGCAGGTACTGTGTAAGACAGAAATTGAGAACTTTCATTTAACATTTTGTGGCACAAATGTAACCTTAGTTGCAGTAATTCTGTTCCAGCTGGCCACTCCAGGAGTTTGGTAGCCCACACCAGAGAGCCCTGCAGAGAGGGCAGATGAGGCAGGAGGTTGCTGCTTCCCAAGCCAAGGGCAGTGGTTCTGGGTCAGTGCCAGCATAAAATCTTTTCTATGGAGGAAAAGAGAAAATATTTCCAAGCCCTACAAACTCACTTCTTTACCCACACTCTCACACACAGTTCCAAGTAATGCTCAGCTCTGGTCTTTCTAAGCAACCTGAAAGAAATGTCTTTTCCATTTGTTTTGCACCTCCAGGTTTTTGATTCTTTTCTGGGCAATTCAATTCAGCCAGGAGAAAAATAAACCTGATTGTTGCAATAGAAACAGTTGTGGTACAGGAAAACCACATTTGACGTAATAAAGCCCATAGCAAGTGAAAGGTCCACAGCAAATTATAAATTTATTATGAACAGTCAGTTTTTCTGTGGGTTCACAATTTCTGTTATCCCAAGGCTCTGGATGAGAGTAAATGTGAGGTTTCTGAGAAGCAGGAGGGGATATTGAATCTAGCACTTTTGGCCTCCGCAAAGTAACGTTCTTAGCCAGGGAAATTATCTTGATTAACCAAGATTTAAACTAAATCTGTGTAACTTGCTGCCACATGCACATTCCAGGTCCTCTTCTCTCTGGGGCTGGCACTACAGGTGGTTCCCCCCAGCAGGTCCTTTTCCTAGAAATATCCCTCTTGATGTTCAAAGCCACGTTAAGATGTGATACAGGCTCGGTTGCCCTCAGCTGAGTCTCACACACGTTCCCAGCCTCAAGTGATTGCTCCTTCTCACTCAGCCTCCTGCTTAGCAGGGAGCTAAGCAGCCTCTCACACTGGATTTTGCACAATCACAAGCACCAAGGGATCTCCCTGTATTAGAAAATTCCCTGTTCTCCAGTGCTCCTTACTGTTCAAACCAGGTGGATCGTGGCCAGCTGGATCCAGACGTGGAAATTCCTTCAGCTCTGAGATTCAGGTGCAGTTCAAGCAGGTTTGAGGTTCAAAGTAGTTTTTTCCCACCTGGGTCTCTTTTTTTTTTTTTTTTTTTTTTTTTTTTTGGTGTGTTTAACTGCAGTGTAAATGGTTTAATGAGTCACATGCAATCTCAGAAAACACTATTGAATCCTGGCTGGATGCCACAGTAGCCATTTATCTGAAATCAAAAGGTCATCGTTTTCAGATCAACGGAAACAGAGATGGATTCACTTCACATTTCTGCCTAATTGTACCAGATGCACTTTGGAAATTCAATTTATGCCCTCCTCTTCAATCATGCTGGGGACAGTCACCTCCCAAGCAAGCAGTGAGGAGCAAGCCAGCCAACTCCTCTGTCATTTGGATGAAGTACAGGCTTTTCTCCTCCGTTATTTACATAAATGTATGGAAGCAGAACTGCAGCTTAGCAACCAAAGGTCACTTGCCAGCCTGCCTCTGGACAGCTGCTGGATCTGCTGTGACTGCAGGATGGGGCATCTGCCAGGAGATTGATGCTGAGCATTAGTTCAGCCAAAACCCCCTTCCTCTCCCTCCTTCCATCTGGAAGGGATTCTTTATTTCAGAGGGTGTGGCAGAGCCAGGGATCAACGCCCTGCATTTGTCTCAGGTATCAGAAGGTGGAGACAAATCTATGAAATTACAGAGAAAGCTCCTGGGAAAGTCTGTTCCAAAAGCAGGCTGGCAGTTTTCATCATACAACCCCGGGTTTGGAGTCTTTGAGCATTGGCAGGCTTTACTTGCTCAGGTGGACATTTTCCATCCTGATTGCATCTCCAGGGGGTTAATCGGGATTTGTGCTGATTTGTGCTGATTTCCAGCATCTGACAAATATTTAATACACATCCTGGGTGTTGCTTTTGCCTTGGAGGGGAGAAGGCTGAGGGGGAGGTGATCAAAGTTTACAAAATCCCAAAGGCAGGGGGCAAGGTGAAGGTGGAGCTGGTTTTCACCTGAGCCCATAATAATAAAATGGGTGAAAGAACTTGATTCTTTACCCAGACAGGAGGGAACTTCTGCAATTTGTCAGCACAGGGGGTATGGAGACAGACAGCTTCAGTGGGCTCAAGAAAGGACAAATCAATTCCAGACAGGATTCCCATCAGCAGACACTGCAGGGAACAGGCAGGGATGCCGATAATCCCATTTCTGCAGCTTCTGGGGGCTCACAAGGGACACAAACTGCAGGGCAGCCAGAGCCACCTGCTTCTGGGTGAGGTCCCACAGGACATTCTGGCACCTTCCCAGCCCAGGCTGATGCTGCAGTGCTGCCCATATGTGACACCACTGTGCCCTGGCTTTCCTGTGACAGATGAGCACAGGCACAGCTGTGCCCCAGCTCCTGCTGCTCTGGTTGCACTCAGCATGGGAACATCTGCATGCCAGCTCTGAAAGGTCCCAGCCCTGCTGAGAGCTGCCTGGACATCTACAATGAGCAATTTTTTTTTTTTACTTTGTAGTTGTTTTTCTGAAAACCTTTGGAAGTTGCGCACATGAGGCACGCTGATTAAAGCATGACTTTAACATTGCAGATCAAGTGCTCTCAAGAAACTCCACTATTAAAGTTGTCTTGGGCCTTCTTATTTCAAGGTATTTTTGTACATGAGTGCTTAAAAGCCAGCCTTCATCACATGCTGATGCACTTTTTTCCTCCCTAGCTGGGCATCAGGCAGGCTTAGGTGGCAGATAAGGAGCTCTCTGGTTTCATCTTATGCTGGAAAGTGGGCAACAAGCCAGTCACCAGAAGAAATAACCACACCATCTATTCAGGCAGCTGGAAACAAGCCTGGAGAACTGGATCCTATCTCTGCCTAAAAGACAAGATGCTGGGAGTTTTAGCTGGTGAAACAACCTTTCAGAGCCGTGGGTTTCACAGGTCCAAAAGCCTGACCTGCAGCCTTGTGCCCCAACCATACAAGTTGTTAAAAGCAGCATTAAGCACCATAAAAATCAGAATAAATTTATGAAAAAATTAAAACTGCATCCAAGGTTTCTGAAAGGAGGTCTGAAACCAACACAGAATGGTTTGGTCTCAGTTTCTCTGCAGCTCAGTTGCCCACCTGTGAAAGACACAGAAGCTCCCTCACTTCCCACAGCCTTTGTGAAGACAAATTGCTGCCTGTGAATCCCCCAGGATTCACCTTAAGAGGTGATAAATAATTCTCTACTCAGTGAGAGGCTGAGCAGAGCACTGGATGTGGAGGTCAGGGTGGCACACTCTGGGAGCTCCTCAGAGGGCTCCATCAACCCTGGGCACTGGGAAATGCTGGATCAGGTAATTAAGAGTTCACTGATCTGCATGCATGGGCAAAAAGAGAAAAAACAAAGGTTGTTTTATTTAATTCTGCCTTAAGAATTAATTCTAGCCCTTCCTAACTTTTAGATATTTAACTTTCCAGCTGTTATTTTAAAATGTTTAAGTCATTTTTGTGTGCACCTGTAACACTATCCCAATGGACAGACACACACCTAGTGAGAACTACCAGAGCACCTTGACCAGTGATCTAAACACTTTTTTCCCAACAGTAAAGACATAATAAAAGCAGGGCCTGCCATATCCCAGGCAGGGGTAATATTTTCCTTCGAGGAAGAGAAGGTGAGGAGTGGCAAGGAACAGGTTGCTGTGAAAGGTCATGGAGACCTTTCCACTCCTGGCAGGATGGAGAGCACGCTAGCATGGATAACATCAAGAATAAAATAACAGTAGTTCAACAGCGTGCTGTGCAGTAATTTCTGCAGTTCCAGTTTCTCTTCTCATCATTTATTTAAGACTGTGTCTAGACAGTGCATTACCATTCACAGAATTTATGACTAATGCCCTGAAAAGCAAAGATACCAGAATAATGTAAACATGGAAATCACCTAGAAGCCGTACAAATCCTTAAATGGTTTTAAGTATTCCCAAATTAACTTTGACAGGAAAAAGTGTCAGGGTGACCACAGTATTTCATGGACAAACTTGCCCAGAATGCCCATCAACAACATGGCAAGGGCAGGGTGGAAATTCTGCAGCTAAGCTTTACAAGAGATTTACAGATTTGTTCATGTTAGATGAAACAGAATCAGCAACAGCTCTCAAGCCTAAAATATCCCTAGAGACAGAATTATACTGGGAAAAAATATTTTAAGTGTTACCAGGATGTTTTTTTTCCACACAAGAAGATGGTCTCGATTTTCAGAGGTTCAGAAACACTTGAATTTCTTGTGCAAACAGTGACAACCACGGTGACTTTTCCACATTTAGCTGGCACAGCTCTTTCCTTGTACTACAGAATTAAAAAGCCATTTTCTCTGATTGCCATTTGACACTTACAGGCACACAGGTATGTACATGTCTGTATATCCAAAAGACTTCACTGAAGTTTCTTTTCAACCGTAATTAGATGTGCTGGAGATTTTCCCCAGCGTGGAACTGATGCTTGGAAAACAGAGATGATCAGCAGCAGATCCTTCACCTGTCTGACAAATCTGCTTGGGCACACAGTAACCTGCAGCTCAAATTCTGCTTTGCTGGGGCTCCACAACAGCCATGGAGCCAAACACCAGCAGGAAACAGTAAATTAGGAATTATGCTTTAATTTCTCTTCTCTAGCAAATCATTTTACGAACAAGTAAAACACATCGACCATTTTTGTGTTCCCATCCTTCTGTTAAAACCCTGCTAGACATAATATTCTACCTGTGACTGTGGGGAAAACACCTGGGAGGAAAAAAAAAAAGTTTGGAAATTCTTTTTCCAATGCTCTGAAGCAACTTAAATGTGGGATGAGCACATTGCTCTTGACAGATCCCATGACAGGACATATGGCTCATCCCCCTCATGCCACGTTATATGATCTGGTGCAGGAGCAGGTTTGGGGACATTCCCACAGATCTGAGTCACACAAGTCTTATGACCCAAAACAAAGGCCAGGGCTGCAACAGGAACTTTCTTTTCAATCTGCTGTTCCTGTGTGTGATTATGTACATGCCCAGATCCATACTGAAAAGTGGAAATAGAGAAAATGCAATGTCATACTGAAAATAGGAGACAAAACTATGTCCTGCAGAACTTTTCTGGATGACAGAACAGTTCAATGCTGGTTTAGATAATTCAAGATGCCTGTTCAGCTTAAAAGCATATAAATTTATCCACTGGAAAAAGAAAGTTCCTTATCCCCAAGGAATCCCCTCCATCTATGTCTCAAGTTCTGATAAAACCGGGAATTTCTGATAGACAACTGGTAACCCTGATGTGGGAAGGGGAAAAAGCTTCCATTTTGAGACAAAGGTAATTAATTCTTCCTGTGTAGAATCTTATTAACACTCAGGTGTTAGATCAGATCCACCAAAAAGTTCCTCAGAGCTCCCACATAGTCACAGGTAACCAAGGAAATGGGTCCTAGTGTAATTTTGCTTGGAAAGCATCTGGTATCAAGTTGCCCTGAGGTCACAGGTTGTTTTAAATAATAACCAAAACTGGGTTTGCATTCTGGGAACAGACTCTGCTCCACATCAGAGGAGATGTTATCCCAAGTGCATCCTGAATTACTTTTGAGGAGAAAGCTCCTGGTGTAAATGCAGGCAGGCTCAGAGCAGACACTGCACCAGACAGTGAATTATTGCTCTTGGCCAGGGATATTGGCCTGAAGCTGGCCAGGTAATGAGCCCTTGAGGGATAACAAGCAGGTGCCTTCCTCAGGCTCCCCTGGAAGTTTGGTGAATTTGTGAATAGAGGTGGCAAAGAGCAAGAAGCAGGAACTTTAATCTGCTGTGTCTACTTCTTGGCACGTTGGAAAAAGTTTACTGTACATTTTTTAAGCCCATTTATTTCAGTGAACAGGATCCTATGGCCCAGAACTGAATGAAACCTTTACACATCTCAGCTGAAGTGAATCTTCTTCCATAAGAAGCATTTATTTCCTCTCTTAATCTGACTAAACTTACCTAGAGAGCAGTAGAGTCCAACTTGTTCATATCCTTCACAGCAATCTGTGAGGGTGATGGTTTCAGGGACCTCAACAGTGTGAAACTCTGTTCTGTAGTGTGTCTGGGGACACACCATCCACGGGATCCACCCTCCACAGGACGTGTTCTTCTCATAGGACCTTTGGTAGGCAACCATTTTAAACACACTTCTGGTCAGGGTGTAGTTGCACAGATGGTACCCCAGCAAAGAGAGGCCTTTTTCTAGGAAATAGAAACAGGAAAGAAAGGGATCAGCATTAACTTGTCACCCCAGAGCAGAAGCTCCCTGCAGTATCCAGTGAAAAACTGTGTTAGAAGAAAGCAGTGACAGAACCAACACAGATGAATGATTTCAGAAAGGCTGATGTTGGGTAGAACATCGCTTCAAAAAACAGACACAAGAAAGAATTGGCAGTGACTGCTTGTCATAGGCATCACTTTGGTCATGAAAGGAGGAAGATTGGCAGAAAATTCAAAGAATTCTTGGTGCCTTCTTGTTTGAGGTGGAAAAGGGGCAATTGTAACTCAAGTTAATATTAAGGAAATTTACATATGTTAATATAAATTAACAGTAAAGCACAATAGGCACTTCCAGGGCAGAGTCATCCAAGTAGTTTAAAAGCCCACTCCAGCCTCCTGCTGCCAAAGCCTTCATCGCTCTCCACTGACTACAAAGGGAACAAAGAGCAAGGAACTCATGGGCAGATGAGTCACAGTAGATGTCTGGAATAAGACATCCTTCAGACATCACCCCAGGCTAAAGCTGGGTACTCACACATCACTGGGAAGCACTTCCAGGTATCTGACACACAAGGTATTCCTGGAGATCCTGTGCTGCCTCTCTGCATTTGTAGCAGACCTTGTTGATCAAACCTGCAGTGGTTCATTGACTTTGAGTATAAACAAAGTCAGTGATAAAGTCATTAACTGCATCATTTCACACAGGTCTGGGCATAGAGCTCTGTCTCTCTCTCTACAAGACCTTTTAAGGGTAAATTGTCCAATTATGAAATGCCACCTAAATTATTTTTACTTTTATCCCAATGACCAACCACCCATGGCCCACAATGTGGACTTTCCTACCCAATCACACAATATCACCCAAACCCATGAAGAAGAAGGTGAAGAAGCAGGACTAAGCCTCCTCCCTAAAACCTCCATTTTGCTTTATATATATTACTATATTCTAAAACCTTAAACTCTGTGTTTTCCACCATGTGATATTACACACTTCTATTCAAACTACACCCCCATGATCCCAGTTCTATCATTCCATTCTGGAAGCTTCTCCACGGCCTCAGGTCAAATGCAGAGTTCTCCTGGGGGTCAGCGCCTGTCAGCACAGCAAGTAAAATTCTCAGTGACCAGGGCTCCAACATAACTCAGCTTCCAGAGTTCTGAAACCAGGTCTGATGAGGAGCGAGTTTGTTACGTGCTTTACTTAAAACTGAAATCCTTCAGCAGGGATAGGGAAAAAAACCACAACACCAAACAACGCAAAGAAACCCCAACAACAGCAACCAAAGCAGATGGAGTTTAAGAATTAGCAGTAAGCAACCTACAGTCATGTCAGACAGACATCAGGCTGGCTCCTAATGAGATGTTACAGAAGCCAGAGGGGCTGAGTCACCCTGTGTCCCATTTGGGAAGCAGATCGGATGGAATTAAAATGCCTGTATCATCCTCTAGCCAAAGCAGAAGAAACTTTAATAAGGATAAATATGAATTAGCTGCGGAGATTCAAATATAACAGGATTGGGGTTTCTTTTTCTGAGAGCTCTGGGGGCACGAAGGTCAGCCAACAGGCAGACTGAAGCTAACAAAATATACACAACAGGCATAGAATTAAAACATTTACAGCTTATCTTATTTGTACAACTGATCTCCTGCCTGAAAACATGAAACATCTTTAAACAATTCAAGAACAAAGAAAAAAGAATTGTCAGGCTTTTAGGAATCCTGTGCTTTTATCACATTTATCTTTCCAGCTAAACAAAAGACATTTGTGCAATTTGAGCAAGATTAGGAAAAGAGCTTTGGAGAGAAGGATCCATTTGTAGGGGAGAGACAGTCCAGAAGAAAACCTGGAATAGACTTCGCGTCTAGAAATGGCTTCTGGAAGCCCAGCCCTGCTCTGCCTCGCTCATCTGTGCCTACCTCCTGCAGCAAAAGGCAGAGTTGATGCCGGGTTGTGCTCCAGGGAGTGCGTGTGAGAGCCAGAGAGCTCCCAGCAGACTCCAGGGAATCTGTGCTGCTGCTTGGAGCAGGGCAGCAGGAAAATATTGAGAGTGAGGGCATCACTGAAACCCCAGTGTCTGCTTCTTCCTCCTGGGCAGCCTCCAGCAGGGCACCTCTGTCTGCCCCAGTGGCTGCGAGGTCTCCACGTCCCTGGCAGGCACCAGGGCTGCTCTCTGTCCCTAAGCAGGGAGGGCAAGGAGGTGGCCGAGAGGGACACCCAGCCTGGCTCAAAGCCTGGCTCAAGCCCAGACCTGCCTGAGCCAGGAGAGGATCCCAAAGGCCGGGATGTGACCAGGACATGGCTGTGCAGGAGGAAATGGAAGGAGAAGTGAGCCAGAGAGAGCAAGGTGGCCTCTCCCTCTGGCTAACTTTAGGATAGCTCTGGGAGAATGGGGAAGGAAAACAAAAGTGGGTTCTGGAGCAGGAATCAGAGATCAAGGGCTGCTTTTTATTCAGTGAGTTTGATCCATTAACACCTCACATGAGGCACAAGTGCCTGACAAGAAGCAGGCAGCTGTCATTGCATTTTGGAAAGCATTCCCTAGCCATGTGTTAAGACTGCTCCAAGAATACCTTTCTCTGCAAATGCTTCTAGGCATGTAGGTGTGGGGTGGGGGGGAAATCTTGCTTCTGCTTTTTTATTTATTGTTCTATTTTTCTTAAATTAGTTTGTAACCTGAATGGCTAAATAACCAGAGTGGAACAGAATTAATACCTAAATAATTTTTGTTATAGCCTTTCCCTGGAGAAAGTGCACAAAAATCTCTTGTGAGAAGGGAAGAAGGCAGGAGCAGGACAAACACTGTTCTGTGAAAACAAGGAAGAGAAACTCCTGTATTAAGGAATCAGACTGTTAGAGTGTAAAATCAGGTTAGAGCGGAGTAGGGCAGGTAAGAAGCAAGAGCTCAGCCTTGTTCCTCATCCCTGTGATCCCTCCTTTTCTCCAGAGCTCACATAAAGCCTGGCAAGAGCAAAGCAGGGACTGGAAGGGAAAAACTGAGTAAGGAGAGCACTGAGGATTCGTGCTGTCCGTGCAGAGCTGAGGCTGTAGCACTGGAAAGCTAAAAATTCCAGTGTCAGCTGAGCTGGCTTAGTCTCTACAGCAATGTGCAACATAAATACAGGTATGAAACTGAGAATAAGATGGTGTAGAATTAGACACAGTTTATAATTGGAAGCTACAGCTGTCAGAGCAGATATGAAGTCATATTTCATACTTAAACATTGATACTACGTACATATATATATATATATATACACATATACACTAGGTATAGAATGAGGCTGCCAAAGCCTAAAGAGAAGCTCTAAGTTAAGGCTGTGGTGGTACAAAAAGATGTCCTCAGTGCAAGAAGTTGGACTGAAAGTGTCAGGGAAAGGTGCAGCACCACCAACCTTTGCCCCATCCATCACTTCCACACCATTCAAAACAAGCTTTGACACTCACGGAGTTCAATTATTTTGCTGACAGCAGTTTGCTGCTGAGCAATGTGGCTTGGATCAATCTGGGCTCTTTAGCAAATTGGCTTTCTGTTCTCATTACTCCCATCTATGGGGTTATGGCACAATAAAATGGAATTAAAATGAACTGGCTGCTGTTTTCAGCGACTCAAAGCTGAAGTGAATGGCACAGCAGAAGGCAGTCACCTGCCATTAGAATGGATATGTCACACCTATAATTTCTGGATTTGAGAATTTTGTCTCAGAAACCACCAGCTTTCAGCACCATCAGGGAAAATATAATTTCTTTTTTTTTTTTTTAATGTTAAGGAAGAGCATAAACAATTAAAGCAAATGTTTTATTAATAGAAACAAACACAGAGAGGAAAGCCTGAGAGCAAAGGCTGCACAGGAACAAGCTCCTTGAAACTCAAGGTTAAACCCAGATCAGAACTGAGAGCATGACCAAAAAAAAAGAGCAATAATAAATGCTTCATAGCATTTGTGCCACAGACAGAGCTGCAATTCTGAAAACTTCACCTCTCAGGTGCCACAGGAGCCACTGTGAGCTGGGATCTGCAAAATCTTTTCTCACTGGAGAGCAGTAAGACTGCAAGATAAGCCTCTTTCCTGTCTTGACATAACCTTAAAAATACACTGTTGGAACAGATTCATGAAGGGCAGATTCAAGCTCAGTTTTGAAATGCAAATGCTCCAAAACATGAAAAAAAAATGGATTATAGACTCGATTTTTCTACAAATTCCAAATTTTAAAGTCAACACCGTTTACTTTAAATGGCACTAGGATGGGAGTTCTATTTCCCCTAATCTCTGCAAACCTCTTTTCAGTTGTGGCTTTGACAGAATAACAGAAAAGTTTGCAAGGTTCTAGGAAATATGGTTTATATTTAACTGAGACTCACAAAACCACTTAAGCAAAGAAAAGCAATGAAGAGCACTCAAAAATCACAGTATTTCTCATCTAAATGAATCAAACCAGAAACAAAGAGTAAATTAGGGGTTCATTTAGCAGTTAAGAGTTGGGTTAGGGTTTTTCAAAATTACAGCCCACAACACAGATGAAATTTAAGCATGTCTTATGTCTTACAGCTTCATCTTATGCACCCCTAGGAATTTGCCAGGCACATTACTACATCATTTCCTGCTAAAGCTTATTTTAAAGACAATTTTCATAAAAATTTGCACAGTACTGAAGACAAAGCGGAAATTCTCCTTGTTCATTTCTGGCACAAAGGAAATGACAAGGATGTGGCCTGGAGATGAAAGGTTGGGGACAAAGGTTTTGTTTTTGCTTGGCTGGATTTTCTCTGTTCAATTATCTACAGAGGATTTTTAAATGGTCACTGAGACATTTCCAGTTCTCTGGAGAGTGGCCACCTTGGCTGGTTTATTCCAATGAAATATCTATCCAGCATTCAAACTGAGATGTTCTCTGGCCAGGTTTGCATCACTCACCTGTAATTTCACCTCCCCTTCCCTGCGTGGCTGCCCAGAGGATGAGAACAGAAATAAGAGTGATTGTAGGGCCCATCCTGGATAAAGTTTTCTTATCCCTTTGTCTCCAAGGTGGCAGAGCTTGGCTGTCCTTACAGTAGGCTTTTGGATTAGGGGAAAAAGTGCTCTGGGTTTTTTTACCTTTTGCAGGGAGGTGATAACTGCTGGCAACAGAAACAAAGATGCTCTGCTGGGAATTTTGCTGGTTCTCTCTCTCTTTCGTGTTCTCTCTGGGGAATCTGCCTCTTCTGCCTGTTCTGCTTGGCTCTCCTGGCCTGACTTTGAAGAAAAGCCATTTTACAACTGCTGGTTTAGGCCCTATTTATCCTTTCGAGCACTTATTCCCTCTCACACCTTAAACACTCAACATCTGGGAGCCAAACTTACACACCTCAAGTACCAGGTACAAAGATCTTGAATTCAATTCCAGTCCACACATCAGGTGGTGCTGCTTTGAAGGTCTTTAATTCTGTATCTTGAAAGCAAACTAAGGGTAATAGCAAATGTCTATGTGAATGTTTATTCCTGAGTTTAGGCTGTTTGTCCAGTTGCTGTCCCTGTGCTCCTCATTTCACTGCAATTCCAGCATCCCCTAAGACAGAGCAATGCCAGGCAATCAAGAACCTTGTTAAGCAGGGCGTGAATCAGGTCTGAGAAACGAAAAATCTTTTTTTTCATTGTCTAAATAATCAAGGCACATTCCCAAGATAGATGTGCCTGCAGCTTTACAACACATGACAATAACTTCAGTGCAATGTCACTTGGCTCAGGCAAAGACAAGGAGCAAACACAAGATGATATTTTATGAGCTGACACTAAAGGATGGAAAATCACAGGTGCAGCTCTCAGAGCTGAGGCAATATGTTCAGAGGAGCACTTAAATACATATCACAGTGTTGCAGACAATTTCACGTGGATGAAAGGGATCTGGAACAACTCTCATTTGGGTATGTTCAGGTAGCAGAGCTGGGGCCTTGTGTAGCATTGAGGCACTTGTGAGCTGTTCTTCTGGCTTGGAAGATCAAATATCAAGCTCATCAAGGGGAAAAGAAAATTAAAAGGAAGAAAAACAAAGGAAAATTAAAGCTTGCCCTGGAAAAAAAATAATGTCAGTATTGTAGAATGCTTCAATAAATTTTTTTTTAAAGAAAAAAAGTATTTATGTGGAAACATTTCTGCTCTAAGGAGAATGTGCACCTTAGCACCAAGATGCCTTGCCAGGCTCTATCCACAGATGTACCACTTACATCTCCTGTCAGGAAGGCAACAAAAAGCCCCTGGCTGCAGGCTGGGCAGAAGATTCCATCTCACTTAAAAAACCCACTAATAAATAAATAATAAGAAGAAAGAGGCCTTAAGTTCATGAAATTCAATGTTCAAATATAAATATTTCTCTTCACGATCTGTATTTTTTTTTAACTATCTAAATTTTCAGGGAAAATATCTTGGTTGAAATTTTTTTGCTAGCACTGACAAAAACCCTTTAGCCCTTAGAAATTACTTGGTCATTCTTATAAAGAATATGTATATGTCTTGTCCAATTTCAAATATAGGTAATGCCAGACTGACAGATGAATTGGATTGCATCTGAGTTGGAACTCCACTGCAGTAGTGCTATAATGGTTCCTAAATATAGAATGTGCAGAACCCCCTATTCAAATAAAAAATTGAGAAAAGTCAGTGGATGGTTAATCCAAACAAGAAATGGATACAAAAATAATGTGTATTTACCTCACAATCTGCAAATTCTTTGAGGTTCTGATTTACATCAGCATTATTTCTTCAGTTACCATCAGTTAGGCTCACAGCAATTTACTTTTTTAGCAATGAAGACACTGGAAAAGATCACTCAGGCAATTAAGGATGTATCCCGTGTCCTGAGCAGCTCTTTTCACACCTTCCAGCCACATTCGTGTCCTGTATTAATTGCAGCAAGTTGAAGATTATGTCCTGCACCCCCTGCAGCAGCACATGCTCTCTGTGCTACTGTGATGAGTTGCACTTGCTCAGCACAAGCCAACACAGTCTCCTGCAGGGAAAGTGCAGATTCATCAATATTTTGGATAACTGAACATCTGTACACACATGGATGACTGCACATTTTTAGTTACCATCATTTCACAGATAAATTGTTGCTTTTTTCTCTCTTATTCCTTTTAAGTGCTGTCTGTTTCCCAGGGAACAAGCAACAGAACAAGAAGAAACAGCCTCAAGCTGCTCCAGGGGAGGTTCAGGTTGGACATCAGGAGGAATTTCTGCATGGAAAGAGTTGTCAGCATTGGCAGGGGCTGCCCAGGGAGGTTTGGAGTCCCCATCCCTGGAGGTGTCCAGGGAAGGTCAGTGATCTGGGCTGGGGACAAGGTGGGCATCAGTCAAAGTTGGACTGGATGATCTTGGAGGTCTTTTCCAGCCTAAATGATTCTGTGATTCTATCTTAGGACACCAGCAGAAGATTTGCCCACTCTCCCTTTGGTGGTGAGGAAGTGGAGAGAGGAACAGAGAAGGAAAAAGAGATGTTCAGAATAAAAGCCCTGGTTGTATGGTCCTGGAAGTGAGCTGGACTGCAGCCTGGAACGAGCTCATCCCGGTCCTCCTGGCACAGTCATCTGGAGCTCATCAGTTCTCCCAGCTCTGTTGTTTACACTTTCTGCAGTTACATTTCTAATGTCTAAACTGATCTAAAGTTTGCCATTTAAACAAGGAAGGGCTAAAAGCCACATCGAAATCCATTTGTGGATAATGTTACAGGATCAAGAAGCAGATTTTTGGAGATGGGATTTGACTCTCCTAGACTGTACTATCAGTAATTGAAATATTGTGGCTGACAGCAGGCTTTCTCATCATACTTTTTCAGCATTTATTGCTTCAGACAGATTCACTTCTGATTTAATTAGCCACTTAGAAGATCCTGATCTTCTCTAGGCAAGGGGTTTGACACAGAAAGGTCATTGCTGGAACATTTCTTTCTTGCTTTGTATTATTTTGTCTATAAAGCAATCATTATTTCAGATGTAGAAAATGGTCATGACATTTCAAGACAGATTGATATGCACAAGGGAAACAGGACTAAGGGCTCATTGGGAATTTATATTTGAGGAATATATCATTGGGAATATAACAAAAACTGCTCTGTGCTTCAGAAGCCAATACATCTTCCTGTAGATGAATAGGATCTATAGCTTGAGAACTATTAAATCATTTAACCTAGAATCACGGAATCACAGAATGGCTTGGACTGAAGGAACCTTAAAGCTCATCCTGTTCCAAACCCTTGCCTGGGGCAGGGACACTTTCCACCATCCCAGATTGCTCCAAGTCTCATCCAACCTGGCCTTGAACACTCCCAGGGACAGGGCATCCACAACTTCTCTGGGCAACCTCTGCCAGGGCCTCACCACCTTCACAGTAAAGAATTTCTTCTATATATCTGATTTAAACCTGCCCTCCTTCAGTTTAAGAGCATTTCCCCTTTTCCCCTCACTATTTGGCCATATAAAACAATATATCTCCTTCCTTTTCATAAGCCCCCTTTTGCCACTGAAAAGTGCTCTAAGTTCTTCCCAAAGTCTTCTTTTCTCCAGGATGAGGAGTCCCAGCTCTCTCAGACTGCCTTCATAGCAGAGGTGTTCCAGCCTTTTTATCACCTTTGTGTCTCCTCTGGGTACACCCTGAAAGGTTCACATCCTTCTTACCTGGTGTGGGAATCTTGAAGCCTGGGAGTTTTAAACTTCCTGTGCTTTCTGATACTACCCCCAAAAGAGCACTGCTTTTGACTTGAGGCCTTGGGGAAGGCTTCCAAATTTGAGTGATGGAGTTGGAATCACTGGTCTGTAGTTGGAATAGAAGTGTGTGATTTCACATGGTGAAGAGTTTTGAATTTGAAGTTTTAGAATATAGTAATAGGTATGGGACAAGATAGAGGTTCTTAAATGTTGTCTCCTTCTTCCTTCTGTCTTTCTTCTTGATTTCAGGTAATAGTTTTTGGTTGGATAGAAGGTGCCGCAGTGCAGGTCACGGGTGTTTGGTTATTAGGTCAAAAGTATAAATAATGTAAATGTTAGAGTTTAATTAAATAGTTAGCCTTTAAAAGACCTTGTAGCTAACTAGATACACCTCCACTTTCTCGCTTTTAGCTTGTTAGGTAAAAGTGTTGCAGAACTCTCTATACTATAGATAAAACTTAATAAACAACTAAGTCTGAACAAAAAAAATCCATCTCTTGAGTTTCAATCCTGACTCTGAGTGAAAGCAAAAAAAAAAAAAAAAGAATCCAGCCACTAATATGCAGCACTGCTATCAATGTGGTGGACCCCAGAGCTGGGTGCAGCATTCCAGGTGGGGTCTCATGAGGGCAGAGAAGAGAGGCAGCACCACCTCTCTCCACCTTCTGGACACTCAAAAACCACTCAAAATCAGCTGTCAGCAAACACTCAGAGACCTCACCAGGCTCACCCAGTTTCAGCCTGATTCCAGCCTGTCAGTCTGAGAAAGTCCAGGCTATGGCCACAGCAGGCTGTGGGAATGGATGGAGTCCATTCCCCAGTCCTGAAGATCTCACTGTGGAAATGAACAAATCCAGGACAGGAAAGCAAAGACAAAACCATGCTGCCAGTGAAGGTGACAAGCAGTTCAGATGAGAGACCTGATTTCCATCTGATTTCTGCACCATGACTGCATTTTCTGGTGCCCAGTGGATTTTGTCTCACCATCAAGGCAGTCTTAAAACTGATGCTGCTGTGGCATTTCGGATGTTTAGCAAGGATTGAGCTCAAGCCAGTCTTTCCCTTAGTGGGGCAGTGCTAAGCTTTCTTCCCTCTTCTACATTCCTAAACTTCACAAAAACCACAGAAACTTAATTGTCTTTGAGCCTGCAGCTGATCTGTCAAAACTGGCTTAAATCAATCAGCAAGGCCAATGGGTCTTAGAAGAGAGGAACAGGCTGACTTAGCCAGAAATAACCTTTTTGCAGCCAAATAGAAAAAAAACCAAATAATTCCTGCCATCAGGATACAAACTTATTCCTGCTTCTGAAAACGAGTATATACAGTGAACACCTTAATGTCTACTTCCTACAGAGAAAATAATTTCTCAGGAACCATTCA